ACAAGTAGTCTGACTTTCTAAGGGAAGCAATTACTTAAAAGATAAACAAGATAGTTGCAGAAAAACAGTTTGTCATGGAAAATTTTCTAAAAAATAATAGGACTTTATTATGACGATGATTTTTCCTTCCCACACATTGCTCCATTAGCAGGGAACAAAATATCACTTCCTTTCTAGCCTTTAAAGACTATCTGATCACTTTTGTGTAAAAAGAGAAAGTAAGAGATTTAAATAAAGAAGAAAATGTGCAGGACTTTTAAATGAAATGAGGAATTTTGTTTTTGTTTCTGGGTCTTTAAGTTCAGTTGGATACATTATTATCTATATGGCTAACTGAAGATATTTAAAGATATTTACAAATCACAATTACTGAAAACAAATGCAAAAAATGTATGCAGCTCCAGTAAGCTTTTCTCATTTTTAGGGAAGCGATGGAGTTTGTGTTTGTTATTGACACTGAAGCGTAGCCTGTAATGGTAGAAATGTTGTTTCAAATAAATAATAAATTTGATTTTAGGATTTGATCTAGTACATGGTAATACCACATAATGTTAGATAATGTTTCAAACACCAGATTTACCTGTACATAAATGCCAGGATCTCTGCAGGAGTCACAAGGCTGTTTCAGGAATTGCTTGACTCTGATTAAGATTGCGGCTTTCTTTAAATAGCAAGATAAAAGATTAGGGAAGTGAACTGTACCACTGCAGATCTAGACAGCAGTATCTGCTTTTGAAGTTGCAAGTATCTTTTAGCACATACAGATTTTACATTCCAAGACAGAAATTCTGCATTTTAAAGGACTTTTTTAATGAGCTGTGAGATACCTCTTTCATTTTGTAAAAACTTCAAATACAATCCCAACTGTGCATAGTTACCTGATTACAAGTATGAGATACGCAATGCAGTAGTTCCTTACATTCACTTCTGTAAATCTCAATATAACTTTCCAATTTTTAAGTGTTTTATTTTACCTTTATGCAATGGTAGAAACATGCAAAAATAATGTTCTTACTGAAGTTGGGGAAATGATGAATTAAGAGGGTATTTTTAACTGCATAATTAAAAAAGAATTATCAGTTGAGGTTTGGCTTTTTTCAGTTTCATGCAGTCAATTATCCATATATTTTACTTCTGAGGTTTTCTCGCAATTTATGGATGGAAACTAAAGTGATACTTTGAATTCAAAAAATCACTTTTGTCAGCTGATTCTGCATTGGAAGAGAGGACGATAAAATTCACAGCCTCGCTTAGAATTCTTACTTAAATTTCAAATGAGAGATCTCTGTAAAGGGATGTTTCTTTCAGATACAGGAGTTCCATTAGTATGATATTGGCTGTCTTAATTCCTTAAAACATGCAGAAACTCTGAGATTGTAAGTTGGAAGCCACCAACATGCAAAAATTTCCACTGATGCTGTATCATTTGATTGTGCTATTACAGTGTACCGATTTGTATTAGCAATTAACATCAGCACAGATGAATTTAATCCCACTAACTTTATCAACCTATTATAGATTAAGGAAAGAATATTAAATTGTGTTGTGTAGCTTTCCTATTGCATTCTTCTAAAAGCTTACATTTAATTTTTACAGAACTGTGTGTGACTCCAATTGCAAAGGGGGGATTTGAAAAAGAGAAATCTGGATCATCTTCAATGAACAAATTAAGGAGATTAAAGCATAATCTCTTTCATCGAAGTATGTCTTTTGTTAATGTATGAAAAGTGTATTTTTGGTTTTAGTTGGTAAAATGGACATTTTAAGAGGAAAATTTTAATGCAAAATATACCTAATAAATTCCTTCCAAACAGAAATGATTTTCAAGTAATTAAATTCATACTGACGGTCTTTTTTGTAAATAAATGTACAGGTATTGCTATTCATTAAAACTAAAGATTTTAATTTATAGCTGATGATAAAGTAATAATCTGTTAAGATTAAAGTTATTTCATGTTTTCACCACTTACATGGAGTATTCAAGTCATAATTTATAAATAATATCTCAGCTTTATGACAAAGTTTAGGTACGAAGCAATATTAATTTAAATATTAGAATGTACTCTTTAGGCTGCATCATCACATGACAGGGATATTGGCAAGAGACTACTGTAGTTCTCTTTTCTTGTTCTGATGTGAACACAACCACCGAAAATAGTATCACTTTATGCAGGCTGATTTCTTTTGAATACCTCTAACTCTATTCTACTCAAGTTTGGGAACTTCTTGTAGTCAGTGTAGAGCAGGATCCTCTACTTTTAACAACCTTGGTCTAAGTATTGAGGAAGGCTGTAAATCTGAAAACGAAGAGCACCAGACACATCCTTCTAAGGGCTGCTCTGTACGGATGTTCTTGTTCTGTTGTATTCCATTCTTGATCAAAGAGCTCATATGGCCTAAACCTTCAGTTGTGTTTCAGTCTACCCTAAAGGAACCGATCTTCAGTGGGCATGATATACCTCATTCTCTGTAGCTGCCTAGAAGTTGGTTATCCAACCTAAACTCATTACTCCCTGAAAAGAGAGAAGATAAGTAGTTTTCAAAGTGACTTTCTTCTGGGATGTCTGGATGCTCAGAAATTTGCTAGGAGGTCAGCACGGAAAAGAAAATGGGAACAGAAGAAACAATTTTTAGGAAATAAATTCAGGAACAAAAAAATGCTAAAACAAGAAAGTGTGCAGCTGTGTGGTAATCGGCACTTATTTTTCACAATCTTGTATTGTGACCTTAACTTCTAGAATCATTTGTATATAAATATTTCTACTATGCAAGTCATATATTTAAAAAAAAAAAAAAAAAAAAAAAATTCTAGTTTCTGCCAGTGTCTTTTGTGAGATTAAAGGGAAGTTTTCACCACCCAAGGCTTTTGATGGGAAGTGATCTATGGTGCAGCATGTTTAGAATGGATTCATGAATCAGTTGTTATTTCCACCAATTGATTCACAAATTGTTTTGTAAACACTTCATAATGTAATGACAAATTTTGTGTGTGCATTCTTTTTCAGATAAAAGAATAGTGAGTATCGTCCCTAGCTCTGACAGTTACTTGGAGGACCTTTTTACAGACTACTATGAGAAAGCTGCAAGCATGACTGATCTCTCTACAAGCTATCTCAGAGATGGGGCTCATGTCCGAATTAATTTACTTAATAACAACATCCCCAAAGGTCCTTGTGTTCTTTGTGGAATGGGAAGTTCTAAAAGAGAAACAGTCTATGGATGCCTAGAGTGCTCTTTTAATGGACAGAAGTATGTACGACTGCATGCTGTGCCCTGTTTTGACCTCTGGCATAAAAGAGTGAAGTAACTGCTGTAGGTAAGTGCCTGTTGTTACAGACATGGGCATAACTGGGTGCCACAAAGTTTTCAGAGTTATTACATGTGACTCAAATGGTTTAAATGCAAAATAGTGGAAGTGCAAAACATTTTATTACACTATTATTTTCAACTTATTTGCTTCACAATGATCTTAATTACTTGAGAATGTTCCAATGCATTCCCTGACATTTTGCTTTTCATCTTTCTAGTACCTTCACACTTCATTATCATAGTGGAAGATGTACTTTTAAAATGAATTTTAATAATGTCAAAATATATACTATAACTTACCTATAAAGTTGTTTACACAAACTTGTTTTGAAGCCTCCAAATGTTGCCTTTATCTACACTGGCATATAATTGTAAAATGAGAATATTTGTTAATAATTTAGTGTTCTCATGAATGTTTAATTGAAGTATCAGATTAAAAAACATGCTGAAACTTACTTAGCTCAGTCTAATGTTTCATTTACAAAAGGGAACTACTAAAACTGGGGTTAGGAGTTTAATATTAGGATGTCATTACTAAGAAGTACCAGCCAGCATACAAGGTATGTTTGGATTTCAGGTTACAACTGCTCTTGACTTTCATACATTTTATGTGTTCAGAAAAAAATGTTTAATGGAGAAAGCTTAGGAAATTTAAGATAACAGAACTAGATCCTTCCAGCTAGACTTCAGGCTGAAGTTTTTTTAAGTAGTTTTCAACCACAAGAAATAAACTGTTCTTTAGAATATATACTCCAGGGGGCACTACACAACAGCGTCCAATGCAGAGACAGGGAGAATGGTTGATTTGTGTATAGCTCAAGCTTTGCCATTGCTATGTTGAAACAGGAAAACAAAATTTGTACATTTTGATTTGATTTTAAGCGTAATTAATGATTTTAAGCGTAAAGCCGTATGTGGAAGTTTTGTTTCTTTGTCTGGGCTGCCATTTCACTGTGTGTACACCTGATTCTTCCATGTTGAAATAAATGGTAATTTGCCATCAGTAGAAAAGTGTGATATACAGGTGTTATGATGACAGTTGCATAAGCAGGTAGAATAACTGTGTATAAACTATAGGAATATTGACTTTATTAACTATGAGAGTACTGTATATTAACTATCACTTTCTTCTTTGTGTTTTTTCCAAAGTGAGGGAATCCAGACGCCCAGATAAATACTTATGCTTATACAGGAGTACCTTCTATTCTCTTTCATCTCAAATAAAACATGGCATTATAAGTTTCTAACTTTTAGCCAGTTTATTGAGCGGTTTTAGCAAATTTACTGTAGTCAAGGTTTAAAATCCCCTTAAAAATACTGTATATTCATAAACGCCGAACTTCAACACCAAATGACTATAATATTAAGTTGATTCAACATTGATAAACATTTGTATTTTTATCTTGAAATTTCAATTTCTTTCTTTTAAGGTTTTTTTTTATAGATGAAAGTGCTACAATAGCCTAAAAGCTATAGAAAGCCTGCAGTTACCTTCCTGGGATTCTGTTTTTCTGTTTGGACTTAGAAGTATTCATTAGGAATTTTCTAAATATGTCAACAGGTACTGGAACAATTTTTTTTTTTACTGATGAGACAGAAACAATCATTTTGATCAGCAGTTTACACATTGAGCAACACCAGTAATCAACTGTGTAGATTAGGAAATGATAAAGGAAAAATAAAACTATGGATCTTGGTGTTTTCCAGTTTTATTTATTTTGTAACATCTAAAACATTTTATTAGCTGAATGTTAAAAGTAGTATTTTACAGTCACCTTAGAAATAAAAAAGATTCCACTATAAAAAAAAAAACAAAAACAAAAAAAAAGAACAGAAAAATATTCTGTAACAAAGTATTACTTTGGATTTTTTTTAAATTTTTTGTCCATAAAACTGCCAAAGAGTTGACAGGTAATTAGAGTTCATCATGCTGGTAGACATTGTACTCCTTAGCTGATATGAAGCCATCTCCATCATGGTCATTCTTCTTAAATATATCAGCTAAAATTTCATCATGGACTGAGGGATGACGTTTTTTGCCATCTCTTGCAAATTCTTCTTTCAAATATTGACTTATCTGGAAGGAAAAAAAAAAATCAACTATTGTGGCTTTTATACCAGAAAACTCAGCAGCTATCTTCAAGAACACTAGGTTATACGTGTGAGTAACTGACTGCAGTGTAGGCATGTCTGAAGTTACTTTCCTACTATGTCTGGGACAGACCAGTAGAGTAAAGCAAATGTCAGCATGACAATGTATAGTTGGTCTAAGCATACAAAAGCTTTCCGTAATGAACTGCATCAAAAGCAGCTCGTGTAAGGATAATGTTATGATAAAAGTATCTCCAAAGTTTATAAATACAATCCACTCAACATTATGTCAAATTACCTCGAGTTCGGAGAGCTTCTTGTCACTGTCCTTGTCTATTTGATGAAATGCTTCAACACTACGAGGTCCCTTATTTACTGCATAAAGTTCAATCTCAAAGATGAGTGTTGCATTAGGTGGAATCTTGCCCTGTGCTATGAATAAAAGAAAAAGCACATTTAAGAAATGATAATGTATATTCAGTGATTGCATGTATGGTAAATGTGCATGTAAATTTTCCTATTTTTTCTTACAAAAGACAGTGTTAATATTCAGATTAAATGTTTGATTTAAATATTACACAGCTAGACTTATCAGTTCATGTTCTGGCATGATGCTGGTTCAGCAGGTCATTGAGTTAGAGAAACTATTTTGAGAGAGACTTGAAAGCAATATACTTCTCTGAAAATTATATTGTTCATACCATATTTTCAAAAATGAGGATGTAGTCAACTTTGAAGAGTGATTCTGCATCATGAAAAACAAATATTTCTGCTGTTCTCACTGTTTCATATACTGAGGCTTACTGAGAGATCCATTCTAAGATGTATGTATTAATTTATTGATTTATAATATATGCATTATAGTACTAGACCAATGTTTTATACATTTTCTATCTGAAGAAACGAGCAGGTAATATCAGGTTTAACAAATTTACTATGAATTATACCTATGATTAAAGGACACTATGCAAAACAGTGAGTTAAATATGCATCTCACTAGGAAGAAGCAATAGCATGTAATTCATCTGGTTCACATTTGAAAACCAAAACAACCCCCAGAAAACCTCACAACCCAAAAAGCCCTAAAGAACCACTGGAATATTTTCTCTGGTCCCTAGACAAAAACACCAAAACATGTTAGACAGTATTATTCCTGTGTCAAAGCATTTGCCTATTAACATAAGGCATTTTATCATGCTTATGGCCAAAAAAAAGGAACTGAAGCAGACCGGAATAAACAGATCAGGTCTGAAAGCAAAGCCAAAAAAGCTTTTAGAAACCATGCAGTTTAATATTAAAATGTGAACATGCAATTTGCTTCTATTCATAGCCAAAGCTAGTATGCATGACTTTTGACAGAATGTTGTGACCATAAACTGAAGAAAAGCTAAATGTACTTTGCTTATAAGAACAAGGCAAACAAAACTATTACTTACACTTCTCATCTAAAATATCGATGTTAAAAATCACAAGTTTTAAAATTCAAAGACTTTAATCTTAAAAGCCTGAACATGTAGAAGTTTTAAATATACCTGGATATATACCACTGTTTATATATGACTTACCAAATAACAGTATTAGTCTTCAGTGCCAGTATTTACGAATATACATACCGACAAAGGAAAGATATGTAAAGATTTAGAAAGCCACATGCATGTTTTCTAACTCAAGATTAGGCAGGCATCTTCCACAACATGCAGGAATGCACTGAGACAGAGGAGACAGGTGTATTTCAGAAACAGAACAGTTTCTTGATGTGCTACCTAGAACAAACAGTTAATGGTAGTATTAGATTAAAAGAATGTATTTTTGTGTCAGTGTTTCTCTTTGTTGCAAGACTTGCTCATTAAACATTATGCTCAAGAGGTAAAAATTTGATCCTACTAACCTTCATTGGCTACAGTGGATTATACCAAACACGAAACTGATGCATGAGATTCTAACACAGTAACATTTACCAAATAATTACTATACATCAGAAGTTGCATTTTCCAAAAAAACTAATACACCCAAACCAGACTGCATTTATTTACAGCTGACTACAGAAACACTACATAAAAATGACTAGAAGTCTCTTTTATATTTAAAATCATAAATTCAAATCAGATTTTATGCATTATATTGATGCAATTATTAGACTATGTGATGATGTTGTGCATTAACTATGCAGAATGTAAGCAATCTTTTAAACAAATGATTTCCAGTTAAATTGACTCAGTGTATGAGCTGGATTACATTCTGTTTTGCTCAGAAGAATTTCATTAAGAGGCTAAAGCTAGTAGGACTGAATTAATAGAAACTAAGTATGAATAGAATATAATTTCAGGTTGGATCATAGGAAAAAATTCCTCTCAGAGTGGTGGGGCCTTGAACAGCTGCCCTGGTAAGCAGCAGTCTCTGTGCAGATGTGGCACTGAGGGGCATGGCTTAGTGGGCATGGTGGGTTGATGGCTGGACTGGATGATCTCTGTGGCCCTTTCCAGCCTTAATAATTCTATGGTAATATAGTAAGACAAAATGCATATATGAATCATGGAGATCTTACTCTAGCTGTATGTTTTTGGTATTGCAGCAGTGCTCACAAAACCAAGACAGGCGGCATGTACTGGGAATTCTGATGCAAAATGCAGAGCTGTGGTGGCAGTCTGTGAAAAGAACTGCTTAAATCAAACTGGAACTAGCAAAATTAAGCCGTGCTGCTCCAGTCACCTGAAGTGTTCTACAAAATTAATAAAGCACCAACTCTTAGTCATTTACAATACTGTTTGCACATTAGAAGGTAAATAAAACAGAGAAAAAAAAAATTAGTTTTTAAACTTTTTTTTTTTTTTTTTTACCATATCCTTGCTGTCCATATGCTAATGATGGAGGGATGACCACTTTCCGTTTTTCTCCAGGACACATATTCATCATAGCAATATCCAACCCCTTTATGACTTGTCCAACACCCAGAACGAACCATTTTGGATGACCATCATTTTGCGTCCGACTGTTAAAAAAATTAAGTGGATAACAACAAATTTAGCATTTGTATGAATTTTTAAAATTACTTTATGTTATCAGTCACTGAAAGCATGCATTACATTATTAGATGATCTCTGAGGTCCCTTCCAACCCAAAGCCATTCTACGATTCTATTATTAAAACAGAAGAACGTTTAAATAGTAATAATACCTTAAGTATAATGCTATTTTTCTGCTACGTTTATAATTACATGTCTAAGAGAGCTTTTGTGTTAAGAATGTTCACTCCAATGGGGGGAAAAAATGCAAGTAAAACGGTAGCTAAATGTAGGGTTATCTGTTGATTTTTTTTTTTTCTTAAATAATAGAAGGGGAAGGATGAACTGAGGCTGGGTCCTAATTTAGGCCACTGCCTGTAACATCTGTCAAAACACGGGTGAGGGCTGACCCTGAGGGAAGGCTTCCCCGAGGCAGTTCGGGACAAGGAGGAAAGCGCTCGCAGCTGCAGTCTCATTGTCGGCCTGGGCCGACCAGCGTGCCTACTGCTTCCCTTCCAGCACCCTCGGCACTTGGTACATACAGGATGAAGGAGCCTGAGAGGAGAAGGAACGCCGCTGCCGGCCGCTCCCGTGCCCGCTGCTCGGGGAAGGCCGCGCCACGTCCACCGCCGCCCCCACCTGCAGTAGAACTTGGAGCCGTTGCTGGCCAGGAAGCCGTCGTAGTGCGCGTTCAGCAGGTCCCCCTTCTTGCTCTTGGGGCTGCAGGCATCGGGGAGGTGCAGCACCTCTATCTTCACCTCCTCCTCGGCCCGCGCCGGGGCCGCCAGCAGGGCCAGCGCAGCCAGGAGCAGGCTCAGCCTGCGGCCCATCGCGTTTCGCCGGCGTGGCACCGCGGCCGGAGGGGCGGAGCCTCCCGTCCGGGTGGGCGGACCCAGGAAGCAAAACGGCCGTGAGGGAGCGGCCACGGAACCGCGCATGGGGAGCGCGGAGCGCCCCGCCGGGCGGGTGGCGCCGCCGGGGCCGGCGCGAGCCGCGCCGCTTCTGGACTGAGCCGAGCTGGGCCGGGCGGCTCCGCCTCCGCGCGAAGAGTAGCGGCGAGCCGAGCCCCGGCTCCGCGGCGGCGCCCGCCCTTTCACCAGGCGGAGCGGGAGGATGCGGCCCGGAGCGGAGCTCTGAGCGATGGAAGGAGTCCTGTACAAGTGGACCAACTACCTGGCGGGTAGGCGGCGGGCCGGGCCTGCGGCGGCCTTTGGAACGGCCAGGCCTGCGATGCGGGGCTCTGGGCCTCGGCCCGGGGGTGGCTGCGTGTGGGCCCCGGCGTCGCGCCCTGCCTCGTGCTGGGCGGAGGGCTCCAGCTGCGGGGCTGACCCCTGCGTTTCGATGGGGGCTCTGGCAGCTGGGTGGGGAGCCTCCGTCCCGGCGTCTCCCTAGCTCGGATGTTGCTCTTTCCGTCTTCATGAAAAATGGCTTTTATTCGCTGCGTGCGGATCTGCTGGGTAGTGTTGCTTGCTGTTGAGGGCTTGTAGAATGGTTCGAGTTGGAAAGGACCTCTAAGATCATGTAATTCCAATCCTCTGCTATAGGCTGCGATACCTCCCTGTAGCCCAGGTTGCTCAGAGCCCATCCAGCCTGGCCTTTAATCCTTCCATGGAAGGGGCATTCACAGACTTACTGGGCAACCTGTTCATAATCAGGTAGGGTTGCTGGTAATCTTCTGTGCTAAATATTCCTGAAGTCTGAATTCTCCTAATTGGGTTTTGGATGTTGGTTTCTAAAGTCTCTGCTTCTCTGTCCTAACTAAAACATACGAAAGCTGGAGTTCAGGGTAAGATACGCAGAAATTGCATCTGTAGAGCTGCTGTGGAGAAGTGCACCACAGATCTGCATTATCTGTGTTTGCTGTCTGAAAGCGCAGCGTTGTTTGCACCATCCTCCCATAACAGAGACATCATCTCTGTCTGGAGATAGCAGTGGGTGGGCTGCACTTTCGAGGTGCAAAAGATTTTTTTTCTAGTGCTGTAACAGAACTGATTCTGCCTGTAGAGTAGGTTGTGCTGGATCCCATGCTGTGCCTAATCAAGCCTCGTCTTGGCAACCATTGACTTCGTTGCCCTCTCAGTCTCCTGGTCCTTGTGTGTGCTGTTCTGCTTCAGGGAATTGAGTTTTTAGTGTGGAGTGGTGCAAAGCTATGAAGGCTTAGAAAGCATGATACCTTGTGGTGTTTATTACAAACTTCTCATTTGGTCTGTTATCTAATAGGTAAATATGTAGCAGTAATTGAAAGCGCTGTACAATAGACAGTTACATGTATGTGTACGTGACTGCTTCTAATAGTCAGTAGCCCACTAAACTACCAATTTGCAGGACCCTTCCTTCCACGTGTGTTGCCCAACTGAGGGCATCTACTGCTGTTGCATTTGAAAATTATGGTGTCAGAAATTCTGTAGAATTTCCTGAGTGTAGCAGGGAATCAAGTTTCAGAAAACCAAGTGTATTACTGATTTTTTTTTTTTTCAGTATTGTTACCAACCTTGTTGTTACTCTGCTCTATGTTTTTGTAGCCAAAAGGAGGCCGTAGTATTTATTGTAGTTTTTACAGTAGCAGCCAAGCAGCTTGTTATCACTGCTGAAGCACACTGGAAAATATTATTTAGTTTCCTCTTTCTTTAACAGCAAAGGAGACTCCTCTCTAGCTTCAATAATATGGGTGCATCTAGGGACTTGTAAAATACAAATTTTGTTAAGTATTTTGTCAAATATCAGATTTGGTTACTCATCTAAACTCAAGTTAGAAGTGGTTTTGTTCTTTTGCTTACTTTTGTGAGGCACCTTCTGTTTTTTTTCCAACGCCAGCATAATATGAGGCAGAAATAATCATCTATATACGGTCCCTTTTTATCAGAATAAGACTATTCAGATGCTGGTTGACTTAATGCATGTGCCGAGGAGATAAGGGTAGTTCAGAGTGCAACACCATGCCACTTGGGGAAAAAAAAACAATGAAAAGCTAGTGCATTTCAGAGGTGTATTTTATAGGACATGGTCTTCTGTGCAGTCATTTCATTGCACGTTGTTTTAGCGTAAGTGGTTTTGTACGCGTATAACTTGATTATATTTTTTTTCCTATGGGATCTGGGCTCCCTTAGTGATTGTGGTTTTTTTGTTTGTTGGCTTGCTTGTTTTTAATATTCTGTTTTTATGAGAATGTGGATCTGCCTATTGAGTACACGTCTGCATTTTGAAAGATAAAGATGTATGCTGTTACAGCTAATATATAACTTAAAGAGATGTTGCATGTTATTATTTCCTTATCTTGGAATTGTGATACTGGAACAGGCTGTGGAGGGAAGTGATGAAGTCACTGTCCATGGAGGTGTTCAAGTAATGTTTAGATGTAGTGCTGAAGGACACGTTTCTATGTGCCTGGTGGTGATGGGTTTGTTGCTAAATTTGATGGCTTTCTAACCTTAATGAGTCTGTGATACTGTGTTTCATGTGATCTGGTCCTGTGCTTCTTGAATTAGCATTAGTAGTGGTAGTGACTAAAAGGCTTCATACTACTCACGTTAGCAGATGTTCAAGAGTGATGGCTGTCTAAACTGCAGTGTTACAACGTGTGGGTGCTAGATGGCTGCAGCTTGGTTTGCTGGTTTGGGGGCATGGTGAGTCCCAAAGACCACATCGTTGTGTCACCAAATGTGTTGAGGCCTTGGCCATACATTACTCCTGTCCCATCAAAACTGAACAGGAAATTAGAAATGTGGTCTCAGGTTGTAAAATAGAGGGATCATCTGTTCATATTGCCTAGCTGATACAGCCTATAATGGGTCCAAGCTCTCAAGGAATACTTAAGTTCTGTGTTGGTTTTAGAAAGAAAGGTAATTTGCTAGGCAAAAATATTGTTTGATAGCATTGAGAAATATGATACCCTTTCTACTGAGCATTGAGTTTTATAAAACAGCTCTAAGAGAAATAAATAGAATTGTTGTCATGGGCCCTAGTGGGTTAAAATATATTAGCATTTCTATTTGTCATAATGCTCTGTAGAGTTCTCAGAGATTCCTGTATAAACTGCTCAGTTTTATAGCAGAATAAGGTCAGTGATCATGAAATAGGTTTGCTGATGCAAAGCTGGTGAAAATCTGAGTGGGGTTGGTGTAATCTGTCCTTGCAAATGGACTCTACGTAATATAAGCTGCATCTCAGTTCCCTGTACAGTGCTTGACATTAAGTTGTTGAGCAGTGGAGCTGAGCTACCTTCAGAGGCAGTGGTGTGTCAGTGGTCAAGTGTGGCATGCAAACCTTTTCACTGAAGTACAGTAGGTAGAGGAGACTGAATGTGGCACTTGTGATGGCAGTTATTTCTATGACTACAATCTAAAGGAAGGATACCTGAAAAATGCATTTGGACAAAGATGTTTCTTCAGAAGTATCCCTTCAAAATGGGATTAGTTAGTGGCTAAATTAAAATTTCATTCTGCAGTAGAATGGAAAGTAGTAGAAACTGAAATACTGCCAATCTTTCATTCAAAAAGAATGGGAATGAATTAGCTTTATAATACTGGTGTGATGATAGAGCAGCTCTTGTCTTCAGACCACAGACACTTTATTTCCTGTTGTGTCATGGGATTGCTATAATGTTTGCATCGTTTATAAAAGATTTAACAGCCAAAGAGATGCATTTGATTTGCAATTTAGTAATTAAACTAAACCTCCTTTTTCATGTTTTTGATCTTGCCAGGTTGGCAGCCTCGGTGGTTTGTCTTAGACAATGGGATATTGTCGTACTATGATTCACAGGATGACGTTTGCAAAGGCAGCAAAGGAAGTATAAAGATGGCCGTGTGTGAAATAAAAGGTAAGAGTTGGATTTCTGCTAGAAGAAATTTTAGGTGTTGGGGAGGTGAAAGAGACCAACCAATGTACAGTTTGCATCACAGATTTTTCCTTCCTCTTTTTGTGTATGTATAGTTCAACATGATTGCTTTGTAGTTTACGAACGATACGAGCATGAATTATGAAATGGTAATGAAAGAAAAGGTTTGGGGCATTCAGAGCTTTGTTTTTTTTTAATTATTATTGTAATTCAAAACCCACAATATATTCTTCTTTGTTCTGAATAGTTTTGTGCATGTGGCCTATGCTCGAAGTTGCCTAGTCTAATTGTTTGTTTATACCTCTTTTCAGTCACGTAAGGGACTGAAATGCTTATTTTTCACAAGAGTGGTGGCAGTAACCTGAAAGGGGGGAGATGCTTAGAAAGCAGAGATGCTCAGTCTTTTGTTTTCTTGAGTCATTTTTGTTGTTTTGTTCTTACGGTGTATGAAGGATGATCGGTGAAGTCTAGATTTGATTATCTCCTACGTCCATGGCTAGTGGGAAGTGGATTTGGAGAAACTGTGGTTGGTAATGTGAACTCAGCAAAGTATTCTGTTGAAGACGCAGTAATGGATATAATGGACTGTAAGCGGAGTCCACCTCAGTTCTTGTTTCTAGGGCTGGGTGACCTGACAGCAGAGGAGATGAATTCACTTTTTAGTCTTCTGTAATGCTTTTTAGATCTCTATAAGTACTTCTTGCAATGAAACTCTTAAGTTTGCCATCTTTAGATCAGAGTTAGAGTGCAGCTGTTGCTACAGGTTAATGTGCAGTGAATTGTTAATGCAGTAAGGAAACGTCCTTTTGTTTGCGTTGTTCGGTGTTTGATGCTCCTGCCTTTTCTCTTGAAGAAGATGCACTAGGGAGCTGTTCTGGGTTTTCTGTTGTTTGGCAGCAGTACAGAGATATTGCTTTGAGATCTTTTTATTTAATAAATAAGTGTTACCAGGTTAGGGTGTGTGAGCTGTAGTTTTTGTGATTTTGCTTTGGTTTGGTTTTCTTAAAACTTCTTTTTCTCTTTTATATCTTTAGTCCATGCAACAGACAACACCAGAATGGAGTTAATCATCCCAGGGGAACAGCATTTCTATATGAAAGCAGTTAATGCAGCTGAAAGGCAGAGGTGGCTGGTAGCACTGGGAAGTGCAAAGGCCTGTTTAGCAGATACTAGAACAAAAAAAGAAAAAGGTATGTGTGTTCCCATGCACAAGCCAACCACTTTTGCACAATTTCAGGTAATGATAGCAAAAATACTGTGGTAGAAATTCAGCACTGTTGTCTTTAAAATAAAAGTTGTCATCGTTTCTAATCATCTGTAGGGTATATTTCCCCGTGGTATTTGAGATATGGTAATGACTGATGCAAAGAACTGTTACGTAGTCTGTTATTGACTTTATTTTGCTGCTCATAGGCTTTATCGCTTCTCCTTTCTGTATTGCTTTTCAATTTGGATTACTTTGCCTTCTTCAGATTTGTCCTGCACCATGTTTCTATTTGGCATTCCAGGAATGTTGCTGTGATCATATGAAGTAGAGTATATGAGTTCAATTTACTTCAAAGAAACTTGTATCATTTCTCTTTTAACAAATACTCCATGTTTGGTTAGGAGCCTGACTGTGGGCAGTTAGGAACAAGCAGTTTAAAGTCAAAGTCTATAGAGTTTGGATATCTGATTCCCAGGGCTGTTTTTGAGAAGGTGTATATGTTCATTAGTTTTTTGCCTAATGCATTTTTACAGACACTGCAGTAGTGGATACTCCGTGTCTTTATTCTGTTTGAGACTACACAGAACCACTTCTGTGTAAAATCAGTCACATGATTTATTCTTAAAATTTCTGAATGTGTTCAGCTCTGTCCTATTTGATAGTAATGCATCCTGAATTTTAATACGTGGGCATTGTTTAAGTTTCCTTTTACGGAAGAGAATTCTTCCAAAAACCCACTGGATGAAATCGCCTCCACTACAGGAAGGCAACACAGAAGTACTTTACTGAATCAGACTAAAGGCCTCTTATGAAAACCAAAATCAAAATATTTGAAGGGAATTAATGTAAGAAAGAGAATGTAAATAAGGTGATCTCTCCTGGTTAACCTGAGGTGTGTACAAATGTGAGTATATTCTCATCTTTCCAAATCTTTTCACAGAGTAGTTGAGTCTGGAGGAGTCCTCTTGAGATAGTGTATATACCTGCTCAAGCAGATTCAGTTACAGCAGGCTGCCCAGGACCACAGCTAGCTCAGTTTTAGTATCTCCAAGGATTGAAATACTACAGTTTCCTGATAAAACAGTCCACTACAATAGTACAAAACTATTTTCTCAAGCTTGGATGAAATATCCTATGTTTCAGTTTTTTCCCATTACGTTTTTTCCTGTCACTGAGAACAGTCTGGCTATGTCTTCTTCAAATCTTCCTGTCAAATACTGAGTTATCTACAAACTGCTTCATATTTGCCCACGCCTTAACGCTTGCAGCTGCCTCTCTGTCTCCTTGTATGTCAGAGAATCCAGTCCCCTATCATTTTCACAATCCTTTGCCAGATGTGGTCCAGTGTGCTCATATCTTTCTTGCACTGAGGAGTCCAGATTGAGCAGAGTACTCCAGATGTGATTTCAGAAGCCTTGACTAGAGGGAAAGGATTACCTTCTTGACCTCTTCCATTGCGAGAAGCATCAGCAACTTACTGTTACGACTGTGGTGTTTGTAGTGGTTATGAAGCCATTTAATTTCAGCTGCTGCCGGTCTAATTGCTTTTATTTTCTGTGCAGTATTTTTGCTGTTTTGTTGTAACCATTTCTGCAGTCTGCTAAATTTTCATTTAGTGACTTTTTTGTCTATATTGCACTGTAGTTGAGACAGATTTCAACTTTATTTTCTTGTTATATGCTTCTTTCTGATTGTCCTTAAAGCAGCATCAGTTACCAAAAGTACAAACTAATTGTCTAGTGGTGTTCCATGTTTACAACCTTTTGGCCCCATACAGCTAAATCACTTATATTGTGCAGTTTATTAGCAACAGATAACGGGTGCTTTTAGATTGCTGGTGATTAATTCACTGTCTGCAAAGTGTGTGAGGCTAATCAGAAACAATGCAATGCACACGGAATAACTAGTTGTAATGCAGCCTGGCCACAAGCACACTAAATTATAAAACTAACTCTATACAGATTACAAAGTTTCCTGAGGAAGTGCTCAACATAGCTGAGTGTGTGAACCTTACCCAGTAGGCAACCTTATGGTGTGGGGAAAAGAGTTTCAGCTCACTGATTCTAGGAATCAGAGATAGTCTGTCTCTCACTTGTCTGCAAACGTATCTTCCTTATCTTCCCACTCTCTTAAGCCAAATTTTTTTAGCATTTCTTACTCTGCAGATGGAGCTTGAGTAGCTCTAGTCATTACATTACTTTGTTCTGATTGGCATAAAATTCTTGTGCTTTGCTTTTTGTTTGCACCTTGGAGGCAGGTAGCTTTTGGAATGGAGGTGTGTTTTGGTATTATAATGAGCAGAGTTTGCTAAAGGGTGGCATTTTGTAAAACGGATGGCAGAGTTTTGGCCCAGGAGTAGCAGGTAGACAGATTGATGCCACCAAGTCTCCATACTGGTATTGTTTTTCTTAGAGTCAGTCCATCGGGTTTTCTTGAAGTTGGTGATGCCTAAGGCTACCTATGGAACTACTATAGATCAAAGAACTTGGTTGTAGTCTACTGCACTCTACCTTCCATGCCATTTTAATTGAACACAGACTGCACTCTGCGCTTGTACCGCTGTGAAAGATCTGTACCTAAGTTTCCAGTAAGTAATGATAGTTTAAGCAATTATTATGCTGTAAGTTGATATTTCCTTTCTTTCTTACAGAAATAAGTGAGACCACTGAATCTCTTAAAACCAAAATGTCTGAACTTCGTCTCTACTGTGATCTTCTGATGCAGCAAGTTCATACAATACAAGAATTTGTTCACCATGATGAGACTTGCTCTCCTCCCAGCATTGAGGTATTGAATGTCTGTAATGGTATTAGGTACCTTATTCTGCTTAAGGTTCCACTGACAACTTACGTTCTTTTCCCTTCTTCATAATTTTGGGAGATCTAACTTCAACTCAGTTTTTGAATGCCTGTGTCTACGTAATACTAATACTGGTTAAAAGGACAGAAGACCTGTTATATCTGCTACTAGTAAAAATATAATAGCGTTTGTAGGGGAAGTGCTAAGTCATAGCCTGAACCGGTGATTGAGCACCTGGTGGGAAGGCAGGATCAACCTAAGAGAGCTCAGGTGTATGCAACACACGTGAGTGACCAGAAGGGATGGAGGCAAGATCTGCTCTTTCCCAGACCTCATTTAAGGGTTGGCAGTAGAGGCAAGGGTATCTTGCTGGAGGTCCCTGCCTTTCTGCATGAGGCATTCCAAAGATAAGCAGTAATTCTTTCCTTTGTTTCTGTGTCCACGGCTGCTGCGTTTGGACTTGTTTTCATTTGCTCTAGCCTAGGATTGTGCCACTCCACTATCATTGCTGTATTGCTGATTGGAAGAGTTTCAAAGGAGGATGGGGGGCAGGGGAAGTGAGCCTTCCCTTCCATTGATAAGGTGTGGAATGGCATAGCTATATTAGAGGGACAGATACTAGAAGGGGCATTGAAGGACCCGCTTCTTTGAGAGGTGCTGGCAAAACTGCAGTCCAGACAAATGGTATGATGATGAGGCAGTGACTGCTGGGGTGATAGAAGGCAATGGAGAAAATCAAGGGAAATAATTAGAAGGAATTTAGGAGTTATTCTTTAAGGAGATGACAAGACCAGCTGTCCAGCTTGAAGTGTCTACACCAATGCATGTATCTTTGGAAACAAACAGGAGGATCTGGAAGATACTGTGCTACTAGAAAACAGCAATATAGTTGCTGTCACCAAAACCTCGTAGGATGATTCCCATGATTGGAGCATGGCTATCAATGGCTACAAGCTGTTCAAAAGGGACAGGCAACGAAGGAGGGGAGGGGGTGTTGCTATCTGTGTCAGAAAAGGAATAGCATGTGAAGAGCTTCCCGAAAGAATAGTCGTGAGCAAGTCAAAAGCCGTTAGGTGACAGTTAGAGACCAAGGCAGCAAAGGGAGCCTTGTGATTTTTGTCTTCTACTGGCCACCTGATCATGAGACTCGGCAAGTCCAAATGTAAGATCTTGCACCTGAGTTGAGGCAACCCTCTCCATCAATACAAGCTGGGGGGTGAAAAGATTGTGTGCAGCCCTGGTGAAAAAGACCTGGGGATACTGGTGGATGGGAAGCCGGACATGAGCCAGCAATGCATCCTTGTAGCCCAGAAAACCAATTGGATCCTAGGCTGCATCAAAAGAAACATAGCCAGCTGGTCAAAAAGGGTGATCCTGCCCTTTTACTCTGTGTTGGTGAGGCCTTACCTGGAATACTGTGTCCAGATGTGGAATCCAGTGCTAGAAAGGCATGACCTGTTAGAGCATATCCAGAGCAGGGCCACAAAAGTGATCCAAGGGATGGAACACCTCTCCTATGAGCATAGGCTGAGAGAGCTGAGACTGTTCAGCCTGGAGTGGAGAAGTCCCTGTGGTGGCCTTTCAATATCCAAAGCGGAGCTACGGGAAAGAAGGGGACAGATTCTTTAGCAAGGTCTGTGGCGATATAGCAAGGGAGAATGAATTGCAAGCTCAAAGAGGTTAAATTTAGGTTATCTATAAGGAAAAAATCTTTGATAACTCGGGTGGTGAGGCACTGGAACAGGGTGCTCAGAGATGTGGTGGATGCCTGTCACGGAGTTGACTAGATCAGTCTATGTCCGTGACATATGCCCGATCCCTGTGGAGACTTTCAAGGTGAGGCTGGATCACACCCCTGGCAACCTGATCTAGCTGTGGATGTCCCTGTTCATTGCAGGGGAGTTGGACTAGATTACCTTTATAGGTCCCTTACAACTCTAAGGATTCTGTGATTCTAAATTACTGTTAGGTCTTAATAGTAAGGATGGAATTTAGTGGGTGTATGGGAAAATTGTGTTTGTCTTTTTTCTTGCTTATACTTCTGCTTTCATTTGCTTTCAGAACATGAATGAAGCCTCTTCCTTGCTTAGTGCCACGTGTAATACGTTTATCACAACACTTGAAGAATGCGTGAAGATTGCTAATGCCAAGTTTAAGCCAGAAATGTTCCAGCTGCCTCATCCCGATCCCTTAGTTTCTCCTGTGTCGCCATCACCTGTCCAAATGGTTAGACACTTTTAAAATGCTTTTTTTCTCTAAGGGTCATGTTGTTGTTTATGGGAAGAAAAATGGTAGAAAAGTATTGCTGTGTGCTTTGATGTCAGCAGATGGAATCTTGACTCTGCTATGTTCAGTGCTGGTTTTAAATATTTAGTAAATCAATACTTCTCTGTTTCCAGTCTTTGTTTTCTAGCCTTTATGTAATCAGAGTAATTTGTCATACCTATCAAGATCCTATACTGAGATATCCATGAAATTACTGAGATTTGAATACTAGAAGCACTTCAGCAGTATAACATATCTTTCAATGTATGTCATTCAAAAATGTTTATATTAGTGTAATATAATCTTGTTTATCAAAAAGGTAAATAATTGTAAAGATACTGCTTGCATAATTGTTCATTACTAATTGTTTCTTTTAGGAGGACAGTATATGCAGAATTGTCTTAAATATCTCATTAATTGCATACGTAGATTCTAAGATGGGCTGTGTTGTAGCTTTTTGTTGTGGGATTCCCTTTATTTGCGCTTTGATCTTATCTCCTTATCTTCTTCCAATCTATTTATCTTCCAGTTTATTTATTTAAAGTAATACTGTTCATATGTAAAAGTTTGGCAGTGGTGTCAGAAGAACCACAAAGAATCAAAGGACAGAATTTTGGCTTTGTGTGGCAGAATTTAAATGGTCTTTTGGTAGGGGGGGGGAGAAGACTACCTCACTATTTCTGTTTATCACATATTTTGGTTAAATTGCATTTCCTGTGTGAATGCTTTAGCATTGGTGGCAATCCATTTTATTTTTTTTTTTTTCCTTTTTTAGAGTTAAAACAGGTTTTGTTGTGTTTTGCTTTGTTTTTAACAAAAGTTGTTTTTAATTAAAAGAAAATCACCCGTCCTCTTTGTGAGGCTGTAAATAAAGTATAAATTAATGTCAGTGTGAATCATTCCTGTAAACAACTTGTGACTTTTTTTTGTTTTCCTAGATGAAGCGTTCCATTAGCCATCCTGGTCCTTGTTATTCAGAGAGGTACTTTTCTATTCCATTAGATTTTTTTCTGAAAACACCTTGCAGAACCTGCTAGCACTAAAATTGAAGTGTTGCTGTGTCTGTTACTTGCTCTGTAAATATTTATTCATGCTAGAAACTTCATGCAAATGACTTCTGCTAACTTCATAAATTTAGACATGTAGCCTGAAGTGTTACCATTGTTTTTTGGGTTAATCTTTCGAATTTTTGAACTATTTTCTTCTGCATGCAAACAACAAACTGCATTTTTTTAATTTCAATTTTCAGGCTTTAAAATTATGAAAATCAAGGATGTTCTGTTGACCAGGTCATTTCTGTGTTAGTATAGTGAAAAACATGATTGAACAACAAATCTATAGTCAAAGTTGTTTTCAAATTTGGGTTCTTACAGATTTTTCATACTAATATAACTCATTTTGTTTATAGGGATAATCACTCTGTGAAAGAACCAATTTCCCTCCATCGGTTATCACAGCAACGCAGAAGAACATACTCAGATACAGAATCTTACAGTGACACTCCCCTGGAAGATTCTCAGAGTAAGTTTGGAAGAGGGATGGTTGTTTTCTTTTCTATCTTTCTGTAGAATTTATTACCCTGTTTATGTCAAGTATTGTAGTGCTGATGTCAGTACAAGGGAAAAGGTTTGGTTATACATTTCCTACACTACAGATTGAAGCACCTGTATTATGTAACTGATTTCTCTGGTTTTCATTCATATTGATAAGAATCTTACAGCTGAAGCTGAAGTATTGAAGTGAGTAGGACTGCTTGTAATCTAAAATGGAGATCTAACCAAAACAGGAGTGTTTGTACTAAACAGTAGTCTCTCCTGGTTTAATGGGCCCTACTGAGTTAGTATTTGGTTCTGTGGTTTTTCAATCTTGATTCTTGCTGTCCTTTGGACTCTGTCGTAACTCCTCTCAGGAAGACTTTTAACTTGGCTAGTTCTGGTTTAGTCTTGCTTTCTTCTGGAATACCTAGTGCGTCACTTGGATTGAAAAAACCTGAGGCCTGTGCAGTGCTGAGAGCATGTGTGAGCCCAGAGAGGTTCTAATGCTTTTATGCTATCATGGCACAAATATTTGCACCTCCACACCATTTCCTTGGTTTTCTGATGCTCACATATTGTGGAATGACAGCTACTTTTGCCTCAGTCACCTGCCACCAGCTTAGGATCTGCCACCATCGATCCCAAGCTGATAAACTTGGTTTAAACTCCATTCTGTGTTTCTCTGCTAATGTGGCTGCACATCAGTCTTGATTTGGTTGTTAACATCTGGACCTTCTTCACCAAGCCTAACTCTTTCCAGGACTGCTGAAAATTCTTCTTCCTGCTTACACCAGAGTTTTCTAGTTATCCTAGCTTTTCCTCTTTCCTGACAGGCAGTCTAACAATGCTCAACTTGCAGAAGTCATCAATTTAATTTTAATAATAGAAATTGTTTTAATTAAACGTGTATTATACATATACACATATACGTATATATACACATATAAACGTGTTATTAAACGTGTATATAAACAGTGTTTTTCTTTCTATAATAAATCTTTGTCATACGGTATTTGTCTGCACAGATAGCTGTCCTCCAAATTCAATACTAATTGTTTTAAAAAGGTACTAGATGTATACTAGGTGAACATTCATTATATCCATCATCCTTGTGTGTGATACTGATGGAAATCTTTTAGAAGTCCAGAGTAATTATGCATCTCATTCCTTATGAATAGCAAAGACTTAACAAGTAGAATAACTGACAGATTGGGTGAGGGATTTTTAATTGGAAATTTAATTCTTCTTGATATCTTCATAGGATCTGCTCACTGCCCTGGAAATGCTGTAAATGGGAATCTGGTGTCATCAACCATTCCAGAAGAAAATAGATTGATATCAAATGAAAGATCTGACCTGGAAGGGAGTCTCTCATCCTTTTCTTCCTGAAGAAGCTGAAAGTGTTTAAATTTTCTATAAAAAATGCTATGCAAAGGCTGCTGTAATTATATTGTTATTATAGGAAGTAGTAATTTCCCTTTTTAGAAGGATTTCTCTGCACTTTATAGAATAACCTGAAAAATATCTTTGAAGTGTATTTTATCTTTATATAGTTTATTTGCAAGAGTATTTTCCTAATATTTCACAGTTTGAATGTGCATTTTTTTGGAACAAATGATGGTTTAAAAGATAAACATCTACATTTGTAAATGTTGCTCTTTATAAAAAGTTTGAAGGTCTGACTGATACAGTAGTAAACCTGCAGATTATAAACTTTAGCAAAGAGGTTTTGTTTTGTGTTTTCTTTTTTTTCCTTTTTGGAGAAAGTGCAGCTTGTGCCTGCTGACCATTTGTATAAGCAGTCTGTCTGGAGCTTTGATGGCCCTGCTGGGGCTTTTTTTTGCCTGAGTAAGGACTGTGGGACTGGGCATTAACGAATCTATTCTAGCAGCATGATGGTAGTTGACATTGCCTTCTTTAAAAACACAAGGGTATATATAATCTGGTCCTTGTTTTTAGCCAATGAGAGTAGAAATATTTCATGTATTTTTCTATTTAAAAAAAAAAAAAAAGTATACAAATAACTTAATATGAAGCATTTGTATCAAGCATTGGATATTTAATAATTGTATTTATTTATTCTTCTTTTGCATCAAAATTTTTTTACCTACTTTCACTACTAAAGATACAAAAATCTACTAAAGGTTTCAAAATGGGCATAAATTGTTTCTGGTGTGTGTAGCATCACAAGTAGCTAATGCAGCACTTCTAATATATACTCTGCTCATGTAATACTTTGCTGAAAACACATCTTGTAGAAGTAAGAGCTGAACTATTAGACCATGAAGCTGCTGTTGGTATGGATAGGTGTATCTGTATCTGGACATATTTTATTTGTGACATATTTATACAAAGGGAGCTTCTGTTTTGGTGATTCCTTCATGTCGTTTCAGGATGGTGTACACCAGGAGATGCATTCTGCTCTCATTTACATCAGTGTAAATCTGCGTTAACTGTAAGTGAGATCAGATTCTGATACTCAGTAATTCATGAGTAGTATAATATAGTATAACAGTGCCTACTAGCACCTTAATCCATAAGGTTGCTAGCGTTAGCATTGTAAGCTTTTGGCATAGGGGGGAGGGTTGGTGTTCATTTAAAGATAAGCTTGGTTTATGAAGTCTTAGCTGTAGAGCACTTTAAGCAAGCCATTTACTGTTTTTCATTTACACAATTCCTAAATAAATGCACAGGGTTTTTTTGTACTTGAGCACATACCAAAATCTGTTTTTTGTAATCAAATCTTCTTTAATTTGGTCTAAGTCGTCTTCCTCTGGTGTTTATGAATAATTTGGTGGTATTGAAGCAGTTTGGAAAAGACAGATAGGGTTGGATTTGAAGGTTTCATTATAAACTTCTGGAATATTGATTCATCTAAATCAAAATAGATCCAAACGTTGAGGAAAAAGCATAAACTGTTGCTTGTGTAGGCTACCAGTCTTTAAACCATTCTGTTGGTTGTCAGAGGGAACGGAAAGTCTCATTTGAATGAAGTTATTAATGGCTTCCAGCTCAGTGCTGTCATTTGTGCTCAGTTCTGCCAGTTTTCATGCACCTGTCATTTGCATATCAGCCACACATGCTTCTACTTTTTTTTTCCTAAATGTTTGCTTTTATGTATTCTGTGTGACACCTAAGGCAATTGTAAAAGCAAGTATTAAAAAAAACAGCGTTCAGAGAAGTAAATGATGTATTTGGGTGTTCTGTTGAATCATATATATTGGTTTAGAAACGCCTACTGAAATTTCACTCAAGTTTTTTCCAATGTAATGGTAAGTACATATATATGGTAAGTACATATATACGGTAAGTACATATATATGGTAAGTACATGTCACTTTAATGGGAGTCTGTTTCTGACTTTCAGCTCCTCCAGAGAAAATAAATAGTCTGGACTCTGTGCAAACATTTCCCTGACACTGATCAGTACATGTAGTTGTAAATCAGTGTTTAAAATACTGCTGATAAATATTTTAGGTATGATTGGTTAGATAAAAGTTGTAATGTTTAGATTCAAGTATAACGGCTCCCTGTAATTAATTACTTCAGAACTCTCTTGTTTTTTTTCCATGTGACTAAAGCGGGAATGATAGATATCTTTTAGTATATGTGCAACATATTCTTGCTAAAGGTAAATCAGCTTTTTTTTTGTTTGTTTGTTTTTTAGTATACTTCTGCACTATGGCTGAAATCCTAAAGTGTGTTTAAGTAAGTGAAATGAGTGAAGATGATATACCATAGTACTTTTGGCATTAGGAGCTAAGAAGTCATTCTGAAAAATTGTACTAAGCTAGAACCAGAGTGGGCCAGGTGTGTAAGATATATACTAAATATATATATATATATATAATATAAAATATGAAATATATATATAATAAAATTATAAAAAATATTATATATTATATTTTTGCTTCTAGGTCCAGGGGAAAGCTAACTAGAAATGCGTAATTGTATTGCTCTTTTTTGTGGGGAATGGGAGCTGACCTTCATAACAAAAGTTACATAATTAGTGAATTAATACCTGAATGGAGGAAGTAAATAATTTTGGACATTCATTCTTCATTTTCTTATTTTTATTTAGAGAATGCTTAGTCATGAAAATTGCTGTTGTTTTGGGATGTTTTATGAAAGTGACACTCAGTTTTAGTGTTAACTTCACTGTCTTGTGGACACAGGCTCAGCAGCGTGTCACGTTATCTATTAAAACTGTACTCCAGCAAATTCGGTAAGTACATTATTGAAATCCTATTTGAGGCATATGAGTTAGTCATCTGCTTAAAGTTAGATGTGCTTGCAGACAGAACTAACTTGCTTATACTACTACATGAACTGCTTGCAGCTTGATATAGTAAAAATGTTTAGATTCAGTAGAGACAATTGAAGACTGAATTTCCAGTAGCGAACTGATCTCTTTTTTGATCAGTTATCAAATATTGATCTCTTTTACTGCTGTCTCTAAGGGAAAGTACCACACATTCAGATTCTTTGTCATTGTTTCTAAACGTGCCTATTTCTATCACTACCAACTGTCTTGATCTTGTCATGATCCAAAACGTAGCTTTCTTTTGTATTTTAACCTCCATTTATTAGCTAAATGGAGGATTATTAGCTGAAATTCAGGTCATTTTGTCTCTGACTACGTGACTCCCTTGCAGTGCTGAGCTTGCTCCATAGGCGATTACAGGTGGGAGTCTAGCAGCAATGTAGTCCTCTTAGTGCTGTACAACACTAAGCTAGCATAGCCTACTGAGAAGCAAGGTAAGTTTTGCCAGTTGGTGAATGGTGCTACTTATTGTGTTTCTGGTAACCCACACAGGCTGACCTAGCATGGATCTTGAAGGTGTTTAGCACCTCACTGTGTGCTGCACAAGCAAGGCCCTAGCTTTGAAGGCACATCTAGGCATGTTTTTTCCTTCAGGTGAGACTTGTTCTTTTCTTGCTCTTGCAGCTCAGAAAGCAAATGATATCCTGGGCTCCATCAGAAGAGAGGAAGCAATTGTCCCTCTCTACTCTGCTCCGGTAAGGCGCCATCTGGAATACTGTGTCCAGGTCTGAAGCTCCCAGTACAAAAATGACAGAGAGAGACTGGAGAGGGCCAGAGGAGCGTCACAAAGATGAGCTGGAGGCTGGAGCACCTACCCTACAAAGACAGGCCGAAGGAGCTGGGCTCGTTCAGCCTGGAGAAAAGGCTGCTGCAGGGTGACCTCATTGCAGCCTTTCAATACCAAAAGGGAGCCTAGAAACAGGAGAGGAGTCAACTCTTTGAAAGGGTAAATAAAACTATTTCCTCTTGTCCTGCTGTTAAGTTGAAGGAGGCAAGATTTAGGTTGGATGTCGGGGAAGTTCTTTACTATGAGAGTGGTGAGGTGCTAGAACAGGCTGCCCAGAGAGGTTGTGGATGCCCCGTCCCTGGATGGGGCCCTGGGCAGCCTGGTCTAGTATTAAATGGGGAGCTTGGTGGCCCTGCATGTGGCAGGGGGGTTGGAGATTCGTGATCCTTGAGGTCCCTTCCAACCTGGGCCATTCTGTGATTAACTTCACTGTGGTATCAGTGTTCACTGTTCTATGAATAGTGCCCAGCTAGTTTATAATTGTTTCGATTTTTTTTCCTATGGAAAAAAGTGAACCCGCGAAGGGGTTTAAATACTCAAACCAAAACACCAAACAAACACAGACTTTAAGGTGCAGAAAGCATGCTTTATTTTAAATGAACAATTCTATCTCAAGGAGGTTCAACATCTAACAATTAGATTTAATACTACATTAGAAGAACTACAGCAAATTGAAGTGCAGGGCAATACCTGATATAACAACAGCTTGTTTTCAAACTGTGGTTCACTGCTTAGTTGCCTGTAAGTGACTACTAAGTGTCTAATACTACTACACAAACTCAATCACTGCACCCTACAAACCTCCAAGAGTTGGTACTGCTGCTGCACTTGAGTACCTAAATGGCTTTGTTGATTATGGGGATGGCCAGGTGATGTTACTTTTTTAAAGCCATTCAGGCAGTCAGTGTGTCAGAAGCAGCACCCAAACAGTGGGCGAACAAAGTGCTGGCCGCTTGCACTTTGTTCAGAAATTGTCAGTCAGGTATGGAAATTATGACATAATCAGATCCAATGTAAAACATTAAAGTAATACTTACAGGAGGGTAAATGTAAATATCACTAGTGCCTTACATTTCTGATTCAACATAATTATTTGTGCATGTATGAAATACTATGCACAGTATCCTCTCTTGGTGGTAGGTAATCTTCAACAGGGAGCCCCTCTACCTGTTGAGGCATTCTTAAACATCAACAATGAGTTGAGGCACAAAAATTAGTTAAATGTTGAGCAGGATAGTCGTTTGCCAGGAAACTTTCTCCTACCAACTGTTAATTCCAAAAGTTACATTTCAAAATGTCGTAAAACAAATGGTACAAAACTTCATAACCGTTAACTTCGGCTATATACAGTATGTACATGTCAGTGAAAAAAGTGTTTAAAATTCTTAGGTCAATAATGACTATAAGTCATAACGTATATCTCTGGACTTTGTCTCATTCAGGTAGGTACAAAAATATTTTTTTTTAATATTTACAGATCAGTCCATATATTAATCACTTGTAAAAAGACAAGTGTAAATAATACAGATCAAGCTTTCTAAATTGATCGAATATTAATATTCACAGTGGCAGAATCGGTACCAAATTCATTTCCTAAATTCAGAGTGTAAATTCCACCGTCATTCTTCTGGACATCCATGATGATCAGGGTGGTTAGATCTTCACTAGTTTCAATGTGGAATCTGCCTTGCTGGTCCTGACTGGTAATTTTTCTCCCTCTGCAGTACCACGTTATTTCAGGAGCAGGTTCACCCGAAAAAGCACAAGATAATGTGAGAACTTTTCCTTCATCAATACTGATGTCAGATGGCAGAGCTTCAATTTTTGGTGGTACTCCTTTACAAAACAGGAGAAGAAATACCAAGTTAGTTTGTTTCCACTAAACTTGTGAGGTGTAGCAGGTTTACTTCAAGGACTATTTCAGGATATTCAAAGCATTAACTCTACCAGTAATACATTGCTCACCTCTCACACCTGATTTAAGCATCTTACTAGTTGAACTTTCCAGTTGAGCCATACTAGATTTCCCCATAATACTGCTGGAGCTCATCTCTACAAAGGATTCTTTCATGGAGGACATGCTTTTGGCAGACATGCTTGCAAATTTCGTTTCAGTCATGCTGCTACTGCTGAAACTGCTGAATGAAGCCTCTTGTTTAGAAGCAGCCATTTGAAAGGATTGAGAAGAAAAACTTTCGTGCATGCTTGCGTCGCCACTTGTCTTCAATACTACCTCCTTTGGAGGTTCTTCAATTAGAGCTGAGGAGCATCACAAACATAGAAGGAAAAACCAATAACATCACATTAACTAAGGAAGTCATGCAGTCTATATGGTTAATTTCACAGAAATGAACAGACAGACAGCTTAGCTCAGTTTGCTTTCATTGGAAAACTGCAATGGAGAGTATAATTGTGTAAAATTGTTTGTTTCAAGATGCCCAAGTTACAAAAACGCTAATTTGGAAATGAAACAAGTAGGAAACAGAATGGTTGCTAGGTTGTATCAGGTGGAAGGGAAAGACATACTTAAGAAATAGATCGTCAACACACTATTTCCTAATAAAGCCATTATTAGAATGAGAAACTGTGCGTTCAGTTCATAGTTGTAGAAACGATCAGCTACTGCAGCTTTCCTTTAAGCCCAAGCGCAGTCATCCAAGCAAATCATAGTAACCCCATGGTGCTAGGAACAGAGATGTCCTTGTTCAGCCAATAAAATCTTAAATCTGGTTTGTAAGGTACCATAACGGTTTTCAACATAGGATTATTTTGTTTCATTGGATGAGGTTCTGTTAGTAATTCAGGAAAAAGTGCTTGCCAGCACCAAGGTCTTAGCCTAGAAGAAATGTTCAGCTTTCTGTTAACACTCATCTAGGGCTATGAAAGAACATCTGTATGCTTCTCTGTGGGCGCTCTGAAGATTTTTCATTTCTAAAGACCATTTCTAATGGTCTTTAGTTTTGTGGATATATCAAATACACATAATAAATAGCAACGTGTTAAAATACCTGTATCAACCTTGCTGGCTTTTATCAAAAATCCTTTTAGTAGACATACCACAGCAAAAAGACCCCGTTAATGTCAACACACGATGCAGAAAATGAACTTACGGAATACAGTCAAAGAGGCTGTAGCAGAGCATTGCCCGTGGTAATTTTTAGCCTTAACTGTGTATTTTCCAGTGTCACTCACTGCAGCATTCCGAATCTCAAGAGAATAAGTGTTTTTAGAGCGAGTCACTCTCATATGTGATGAAACAGCAATCTGTGGAGGATAAAATTGTTTCATTAAGATCAGTTCAGTGAAGAATTCTAAGTTTTCAAGTGAACATAAAAAACTAATACTTACAGGTTGATTATTCCTAAGCCATTCAATTTCGGGAGAAGGATCGCCAGAAACTTCACAGGTGAACAACACGTCTTGTCCTTCATTGACATTTTGAGACTTCGGCTGCATGATAAATGCTGGTTCGTTTGAGCGCTCTTTGGACAAGGTAAGCACGTACTGGCATTTCATAACACCTTCGTCAGTTTTACCTTCGCAGGTGAGTATACCTTCATCTTTATTACTAGCCTTCTTGATAGTTAGTGTGTGATCACTTCCAGAAATGCCGTATCTGTAATCATCTGAATTTCTTAGCTCCATTCCATTTAGCACCCATTTTACCTCAGAGGCACCAGGAAAGTTGGCTTTCAAAGTCACTTTCTGCCCTTCAGACACGGTCATTTGAGTCGAAGAAGCTCTAACTTCTGCTTTCAATTGTTTGACATCTTCAGTAACAATTGACTTTTTAATGACTTCTTCAATTGCTGCTTTTTCTTCAGCTGCCACTGATGATTTCTTGTGGGTAGAAACAGTAAGTACATCATCTCCTTTCTCAGCTGATTTATGAGTTTCAGAGACACTTCGTACCTGGGAATGGATATTTTTAAATACTTGGCCGGTAAACTGGAAGCTAGTTTTTGAAATACCTCCTTCTCCCATAATTTCACAAGTATATTCTCCTTTGTCAGATTCTGTGAGGTCATGGATTTTGAGCTCGTATGTGCCATCTGCTGCATAATGGAACTTGAAATGACGGTCTTCTTTCAGTTTTTTGCCGTCTTTATACCAAGCCACTTCCCTGACGCTTAAAGCACTACTTTCAACTGCACAGGATAACTTCACCTTATCTCCAAGGGTTTCTGCTTTCAGTAGCTCTTTTATCTTTGGAGGAGACGCAGTTGGTAATTTCTCCACTGGTGCTGTTTTGTCTCCAGGTGGTGACTTGGCTTTTGGGTGGGCACTGATGGGTTCGGGAGATTTCACTCGTTTAGGAGACTTAACTGGCTCTGGAGACTTTACACGAGGCTCAGGAGATTTGACTCTCGGAGGTGACGTAATTGCTTTTTCAGGGATTCTTTTTCTTTGAACGGTCAAAGTGAAGTGCGCTTCCTGTCTTCCTTCAGAGTTTTCCACCACAACAGTGTAACTTCCTTCATCTGAAATCTGGACCAAAGAAATTTCAAAAGTAGATTTGTACTGTGTCCGTGTTATTTGGAAGCGCCTGGAAGAAACAATAGGTTGACCCGCACGGACCCATGTTATTGTTGGTGCTGGTTCACCATCAACGTCACATGAAAATCTTGCAGTCTCGCCTTCGGAAACTGTGATTGACCGCGGTTTTGTAAGGATTGTTGCTGGCAGAGTGCTCTTAAATGCCTTACGTACTGTCCTTTCTTCCAGTGATTTCTCTTCTGAGGCAGTGATTTTTTCTTCAGAAGAAGCGTGGTGTTCATATGATAGAAGTGACTCTCTTGTTGCTGACACTTCTGATTTGACCTCTCTTACTGAGGAACTTGCTTCTGTAGCAGATGCTTTCTTAAATGATGAGACTGCATATGCCTCTGTTCTTGTCAGGTCAGGTAAAATTGACCTTGGTACTTCTTCATCTCTCCGCTGGGAAGAGTATGTAGTGTAATCTCCTCCAGTAACATCTAAGGTTGCATAATCAGAACATTCTCCTTTGTAGTTTGTGCATACAGCCCTGTATGTTCCACTGTCATCAATATGGCAGTCGAGAATTTCCAGTGTTAATACCCCGCTGGTATTCGAGAAGTGTATCTTACTGCTCTCCTGGAGCTCAATACCATTGTGGTACCACTTCACATCAGCCGTTGGCTTTGACTGGACATTCAGAATAAACCTGGTGTTGTGGCCACATGGCACACGGTGTGAGCGCATTCTCAGGGTGATGCGAGGAGCATGGTCAAGGGTGAAAGGCTGTTGAGTTAGGACTTCGTATTTCCTTTCCATAGTTTTCTGTGTTTTCAAAGCAGATTTCATGGACTCATATCGAGAAAAGATGTCAAATCTTGCCATCCTTTCAAACCGAGAGAGTGATCTTTCAGTAGAAACCGGGCTAGGTGAACGTGGTCGAGTTCTCTCTGGTGTTGGGGATCTTCTTTCACTTTCCTCGGGAGGTCGTGAACGGGGTCTAATTAATTCAGATACAGGGCGCATCAACTCAATGTAAGTTGGAGAAAGGGATCTTCTTCTCCTTAGTAATCTGGAAGGAGGTGAAAATTCCCTGTGAACATGTTGCACCATTTCTATTTCTTCTTCTTCTTCTGATGTGATCTCAGTTATTTCTCTTTCCCTCCTTCTCCTAAGTCTGCTCTTTTCCTCTTCTGCCATATATTCCAGCTCACTCTTGTACTCAGAGAGTTTTTGAGTAGCGCCAACAGGACGGAGCAATTCTTCATCCTCTCTTTCAGCCATTATTCTTTGCTTTTGTTTGGGGGGTCTGTAGGCAGCTCTGTCATAGCGCTGACGTAGCTCTGCATAGCTTGCGCTTGTGTCAGCTTTAGTTGGGATATGGTAGCTGGAATACCTCAGCTCTCTCTTTCTTTCTTCCTCTGACTGGACCTGTGTTCCTGCAGTCGAGTACCGAAGCGCAGACAGCTCAAAGCGTGGAGGGCTTCTACTTGGTGGGGAAGCAGAAAAGCCTAGCTCGAGCTCTTCTTCGAGGCGCAGTCTTTCCTCTTCAGTTCTCTTCATGGCTAAATAGTCCTCAATAGGCAGGAGTAATTCCTCATCAGATAAATCACCAAGTGACCGCCTCCTTGGTCTGTAGTAAAATTCGTAATCTGGAGACGGTGCACGCCGACGTGCTGGTCTCACAGTTTCAAGATCATCTTGTGTTAGCTTTGGTATGCGCCATTTAGGCTTATACTGATCAGAAATGCGTGGCAGTGGCATCACGTAGAACTGCTCCCACCTGGAAAGACGTATGCGTTTCTGGCGTTTCTGAACAGTTCTCTCAAGTTTTCCTGGCATTTCATACTGGTCTCGCAGCCTCTTGTACCATTTCATATCTGACAGAGGCACAAAGTGTTTAATGGTCTGATCTTCCTCAAGAGTAGTGCTCACATGTTTGCGAGGCTCTGGAATCTCATACGGCATACGAAGTTTTCTTTCTTCCTTCTTTTCTTCTTTCTTGATTTCATATTCACCTTTGACAGTCTTAGTGCTGACAGCTGGTTTGTATAAGATAGCAGCTTCTCTGAGAGCCTCTTGTGCAGTTTGTGTCAATGGAACAGCTTCAACCCCAGAAAGGATCTCTGCCATTCTTAAGGTCTTGTCAATTTGCCTTTGTACATGCTTCTCCCGCTCTTCTTCAGTCTTGTACTCACGCTTGACATATTTCAGGCGTTCGACTTTTAGATAAGCCTGGCAGCTTGTAGATCCAGCGCTGTTTGTAGCAGTAACTCTGTAATAACCGCTGTCTTCTGGTAAAGTATCTCTGATATGCAAAGCATAGTAATCTAAACCTTCATGAATTATATCAAAGTTAGGACCAAAGGATAGAGGTTGACCATCTTTCTCCCATGTCAGTGTCGGCTTTGGTATACCAGATACCCTGATCTCAAAACTGACATTTTGGCCTTCTTGGCATTCAGCATTGGCCAGCAGCCTTTTAAACATTGGCCTCAGTGTAGTATCTGCTGGAGGTGGATGTGGAATCACAGTCAGCTTAGCTTTGCAGCTGTCTTCCCCATATTTATTGCGTGCTATAATACTGTATTCAGCATCGTCCTCTTCAGTGACTTTATTGATGATGAGTTGGTAAAGACCTTTGTCTGATTCAAAAGTATACTTATCGTCATCACCAGGTTTGATTCTCTGGCCCGATTTGAACCACGTCAATCGAGGTTCTGGGTGGACTGTTATAGTTACACCAAACCTGACATTTTCTCCAACATATGCAGTGCGATTATACAAAGGCAAAGTAAATTCTGGTGGACGCTCTAAGAGTCTCATTGCATCAACCCGACGTTTCACTTTCCTAACAGCTCTACATCTGTAGTGCTCAGACATTTCTCTCACACCTTTAACAAAAAGTTCTGCATAAGAGCTGTCTTCACCGTAGTCGTTTACAACCTTGCATCTGTAGGTTCCATCGTCTGATTTAGAAACATCTTTGACATACATTGTTGCCACACCTTCTTCATAATTGATTTCATATTTCTCATTGTTTTCTAGTTGCCTCATACCGAAGTACCAGGTGACCTGTGTGGACTGATCATAGTTTTCAATCTTACACACGTATTTGGCATGCCCTCCTTCTTCTGCAGCAGCATGGTTTATCTGCCCAGCAATGGGACCAATGTCTATTGGAGCAACTTTAACTTTGGCCACTGTTACACCTTTCTGAGATCTAATTGCACCTCCACAGGAAATACGGGCTACTGACACAACTGTGTTCCACTCCTTCTTTACTAGAGTGTGGTAGTAACGCCTGTGTCTTAAGGTCTTGATGGTTTTAGTGCTGGTCTTCTCTGTTTTCTGTTTAAGCCACGTGTGATTAAGTGCTTCAGCAGCTGTCATTCGAGCTTTTCTTTCCTTTACTAACAGGCGATCGATGAAGTCCATAGCCTCAATGCTTATGTCTTTGAATGCTTCATCATCAAAATTGTATTCAGCATTTAGAATATTTTCAATAACTTGTTGATTTGTTTCAGCAATGAAAGGATTAATGCCGCTGAGAAGTATGTAGGTTAGAGCACCAACTGACCACATGTCAGTTGCTGTGCTGACCAGATCATGGTGATGTACTTCAGGTGCATAATATTCAGGTGAAGTGAACTGGAGTCTAAAGCTGTCTCCAGGCTTCAGTTGTCTGGCTTGACCAAATTCGACAATTTTAACTACAGAGCTCCTTCTTGTGAAATAAATAATATTGTCTGGTTTGATATCAAAATGTCCAATGCTGTGGCAATGTAAGAATTCTAGTGCATCACAGACCTGGCGTACATAACTTACTATTTCTCTTTCATTCAGTTCAAATGAAGCTGTGCTGATTCTTTCAAAGATATCGACTCCCGAAATGAATTCAAAGATCATGACCAATTCTTCAAGGCTCTCAAACGATTCGTGAAGATACAGGATATTTCGGTGCCTAGCAATGTTTAGAATAGAAATTTCTTTCTTTACCAAAACTTGGTCAGCACCTTTTACTTTGACAAACTTAGCCAGGTAAGTCTTCTTTGAAACTGCCTCAACACAGCGGTGTGCAATGCCAAACTGCCCACGTCCAAGCTCTTCTGCAATCATGTATTTGTCGTACAGTTCCTTCGTAGAATAGTGAGCAGCTTTAGCTGTGGTGACTTCTCTGGTTTCATCAACCTCTTCATCATAGTTCATTACTCTAGTCTTATCTTCCTTTGTTATAATTGGATCAGTAGGTTCAGAAGGCTGGCTTTGGCCAAACTTGTTTTCTGCAATTACACGGAACTGATAGGTGGTCTTGCCAAATAGGTTCACTACTGTGTATCGTGTCTCACGAGCTTGTGCAACACGAATCCATCGCTCTGCTGTTGTAGCACGTTTCTCAATAATGTAGTTTACGATCCTGCTCCCACCATCAGTGGCTGGTTCAATCCAGGTTAAGTTGACTGAATCCCTCGAAATGTCTGTTACTTTCAAACCTCTTGGTGGATCAGGCACATCAGCCACATCTAATTCAACTGTTTTTTGATCAATTCCAAATCTGTTTTTGGCACAAACAATGTAAAAACCTGCATCTTTTCTGTCAACACCATTTGGGAAAACAAGAGATGTGAATGATCTTGTAACAATGACTTGGTAATGTCCATTAGTATCAATGAGATCCTGTCCCTTCTGCCATGTGATCACAGGGGGAGGCTTGCCACTGAATGGGATCTTGATGCTCACTACTTCCCCTCGGAGGGCATGAACGGCTCCCATACCTTCCAGGTTTTTGGGCAAGTGAATCTTTGCAGGAACTGGAACAAAAAGAGGAAGGAAAAAACAACACATGAGCAAAAACACCTGAGAAGAGCACCAACAATCTGACTGCTCAAAATTTAACAAGAATCTGTCTTGGGAATTGAGACCCTTCATTTACCTTCAACATCCAAAGAGGCAGTGCCAGACACTGATCCTCCTTGATTGGTAGCTCTAACTTGATATACTGTGGCATCATCATCTGTTACATTTGTAATGATTAGCTGGTGGTATCCACCCTTGAATTCCTGTATTTTGATCTTTTCACCATCCGGCATGATTTCTTTGCCCTGCCTGTACCATTTGACGACTGGTTTAGGATGACCAGTGACTTTGCAGACAAATGTGGCGTTAGCTTGAAATTTCACATTCAGGTTTCTTAGTTCTTCCTTGAAATGCGGAGCTTGAATTGGTACATCAGATTTTGGAATGACTGGTTGTGATACCTCACTCCACTCGCTTTCACCACCTAGATTTTCACATTTTACACGGAACTCGTATTCAAGGCCTTCAATAAGGTCTTTCACAGAGAATACAGTTTCACGAATTTCATCTGTTGTTACAGAAATCCACTTGTTTTGTTTCTTCTCACGCTTCTCAAGATAGTATGTTCTGATCTTTGCACCTCCATCACTTGCAGGTGGCTTCCATGAGACAACACAAGAATCTTTTGTGATAGCACTTGCAACTGGCTGACCAGGTTGTCCCGGTTTTTCTGTAAAGAAGAAAGAGATTCAAACATTGAAGTGAAGTGAACTTGCCCTAGTAATTACACAGGCATACTGAACTGGATATTTTGGTGTTCACTTACCAAATGGAGGCTTCATAATGACAACTGATGAGACTTCCAGTGCTTCACTAATTCCATATGTATTCTGAGCAGAAACACGGAAATAATAGCCTACGTTTTCAGTTAGATTAACAATTCTACAAGTTGTGCCTGAAATGCTTGAAGATACAAGTTCCCATTCTGCTCCTTCCTTGGCTTCACGTTTCTCTATGACGTAATTTGTTATCATAGCACCTCCATCGTCCTCTGGTGGTTTCCAGCTAATCACCACAGAGTTCTTTAGTACAGATTCTATAACGATCGGCCCTTCTGGTTTATCTGGCTTATCTGTAAAACAGAAAGCAGCATCTTTTTAGTTCTTCTTTTGCTACTCAGTATTTTAGAAAATATTCCACAAATACACCGAAAACAGAATTCTTTACCTTGTATTTCCACATTAAGTACGGTGTCAACTGTTCCAAACGTGTTACTGAGTTGCACTTTGTACTTCCCAGCATGAGTTTTGTGCTGGACGTTCTTAATTGCAAGATGAGTATACTGCTCTGTGTTCTCAATAGTAACTGATTCGGATCCTCTCAGAGGTTTGTTGCTATGGAACCAAGTTATTGCTGGTACTGGTCGGCCAATATACACAACGTGAAGGCGGAGAGTGCCACCAGCACCAGCATAGTATTTCTCTTTCAATGGGAAGCCAGGATGGAACTGAGGAGGAGCCTGCAACAATAGCTTGCCACTAGTTTCAATTTCTCCGACATCGTTGGTAGCCATACAAGTGTAGAGACCTTCGTCCTCTTGTTCATCTGTTAATACTGTCAGTGTATGGTTGCGTCCATCAGATGACATTTTGTATTTTCGGCTCTGCACCAATTCTTTGCCAAAGCGGTACCATTTAATATCAGGAAGAGGTCTCCCAACAATCTGGCATGTCAGCTGAGCTGCTTCACCCAGTTTAGTTGTAACATCCTGCATTTCTTTTCTTATGGCAGGTGCTTCTCCAGCTAAAAGAAAGAAAAAATAAAAAGGATGACAATTAACATGAAATGTTCCTCTATTCTTATTTACTGAAATTTAACCTTCATTTACACTTGTGCCTCTTACATTTGAACAACTGGACTGTGCCTTAGGACAGTCCTGTTGGCAAATAATTTGTAAAGCACAGTCAGTGTATCACTGTGGTTTATGACACATGACATCACAGCAGTATTGCAGCAAATATGACAGTGTATTTTTTGCTTACATGTTAATTTAGTTTTCACTGCCATAGCAGTCCTTCGAGGTCTGCTGAGGCCAGTCTGATTTTCTGCAAAAACACGGAATTCATATTCTGTGGCCTCCAATAAACCTCCTACTGTAAACTGTCTGTCCTTGATGAGTTCTTTATTGCATTTTTTCCAGGTGCTTTCTCCAGACTGTCGATATTCAACCCAGTATCCAAGGATCTCTTTGCCACCATCACTTTCAGGTCGTTCCCATTCCATTGTAATGCTGTCCTTCGATATTGAAGTGATCTCAATTTCTCCAGGTTGGCTTGGTTTGTCTGAAAATTGCAAAATATACAGAAATAAAATTCCTTTCTGAATGTTACTAAATTGTTCTTCACAAGATCTATTAATGCAAACTTTTCTTACCAAATGGATCCTTGCATACAACTGGTTCAGAAGCAGGACTTGCTTCACTTTCACCAATTTCATTTTGAGCAACAACACGGAACTGATATTCAGCATCTGGAACAAGTCCCGTGACTGTGTACATTGTAGTAGTGATCTGCGTTTTGTTATGCCGGACCCATTTTTCTGTAGATGTCTCCTTACGTTCAATGTAGTACCCAGTTACACGAGAACCACCATCATCTTTAGGTCTGGACCAGGACAAGTTAACTGAACTCTTTGTGACATCAAGCACTTCAGGTGGGTTGTTTGGAGGCTCCGGAGGATCTGATAATAATAAGATAATAATAAGAACATGATTAGTAGAAATAATAAAGCCATAGCATTCAACTGTTTGCACATACTATTGCACTTGTAGAAGCATAATGTAAGTAAGCAAGCAGTAGTCATTAAAAAAAGTTTTAAAAGATTTAAAATGGGGACTTACTCAGCGGTGTCTTTGGTACAGCTGGTTCTTCAGATTTGAGAGATTTGCTAATGCCAAAATGATTTTCCGCAGAAACACGGAAGTGATATTCCACATTTTCTTTTAGACCTTTCACCACCAAAGATGTCCCTTTTACTCTAGAATCAACAGTGTACCAGGCAGTCTTTGGTACTTCTCGTCTCTCAACAACATAACCTAGTATATCTGCACCACCATCATCTGTAGGAGGTCTCCAGCTTACTCTGACAGAACGAGCTTGTATATCATCATACTCAAGAGGCCCTTCTGGTGGATTTGGAATGCCAATCACTCTGACTTTAATATACACAGCTTTTTTGCCACACTTGTTTTCAAGTGCCAGATCGTAGGTGCCAGAATCTTCTCTTTCTGCATCTTTGATCACAAGTTCTGTGTGAGTTTCGGAGGTTGCAATCATGGCCCTTTTGCTGATGTCATGTCCTTCTTTGGTCCATTTGCATACCGGAATGGGCTTACCCTTAATGGGTATTGTAAGCCTGATAACTCCACCTTGTCTCACCATGAGACCTTCCTGGTATTTTTCATCAAGTTCAAAGTCAGGATATTCTGTAAAGAAAATTAACATCTCAGGCCACGTGTGTTTTACAGGTATACACTTTAGCTAAATATTTCTTTAGGATGGGTTTCAATAGGAGTTAAGATGTGAAGTGTCTTACCAAGCATTTCTGTAATTTTGACCGTTCCTGGCACTTCAGCAGGTTCTCCTGGCCCACCAGCATTACAGGCTAGCACGCGGAATCTGTACTCTGCGCCTTGTGGTAGATGTGTCAAAGTGTATTCACGAATCTTGGTGGGAGTGGTATTGCATTTGGTCCATTCAAATTGATCTACCTTCTGCATCTCAATCAAGTAGCCGGTGACTTTAGAGCCACCTTCATCTTCCGGTGGACTCCAAGCCAGAGAGACAGATGTTCTTGTAGTGTCAGTGACTCTTGGATTCTGAGGTTTCCCTGGAGGAGCTGGAAGAGAAGACCACATGAGGGCTCAGTAAGATCATCTTTATGAAGATTTAAAACACATAACAAATACTAACTTCCAGCATAAGATCTGTATGTAGTCACTATAGGATTTATATAGGGAAACTTGGAAGAAAAGATTTTCACTAATACTTTTTTCTTGGTTCCTTCCAGTCAGAATCTCCTCTGCTGTTCATAAACATATGCAGATAAATTTTCAAATTACTAAAAAGAGTGACTTTCCATTCCATTCTGCCATAATATGCTTAATCTATGTAGGAAATTACTTACCAATTGGATCCCTGGCAACAACAGACTTGGAAGGACGACTGGGTTTCCCAGCACCTCTTGCATTGATTGCTGTGATGCGGTGTTCATATTCTAATCCTTCAACCAACCCAGTGGAACGGTAACGAGTCATAGTGACTGGAACTTTGTTTGCACGAATCCATCTATCTGCTCTAACTTCTTTGCGTTCCACAATATAACCAGTAATCTGAGAGTCACCATCATCATCTGGAGGATGCCAAGTTAATGTCATACCATCTCGAGAGACATCAAACACTTCTGGAGTGCCAGGAGGGCCAGGGATACCTGTAAAAAGGAAACACAAACATAGTGAAGAAAGCATCAATAATTTTACACAGAGAAATATACAATGTACTATGAATGATAATGTAGTATCAACATTGTATCAAACTCTTTTAAATAAAAAAATATCAAAGTACTTTACAAACTAGGCCAATGAAATAATCCTGCTTTTGTAATGGGGTGTAAAGCAAATTTTCTGTAATAGTAGATAGATAGCTAACAGTAGATCTGACCACAAAAAGTCCGTGCTTGCTGTCCACATTCTCTGTGGTGCTTTTACAATACCTAAATAAGCCTATGGATAGTGTTTTTCCCCAGTAACATACAAAGGCTACAGTGTAGCACAGTGTATCCCATTATTTGGCAAAAGAAGGTGGTAACGTTTAGGAAAATCTTATCTGTGCGTGGCTACATAAGCCATGTAAACATGCATATTTTGTTCTTAAAGGTAGACTTACGAATTCTGCTCTTGCATTCTATAATCTCAGACTGCAGGTAAGATCCAATTCCAAAGCGGTTTGTAGCAGCCACACGGAACACGTATTCTGCACCTTCAACAAGCCTGGTGAACTTGTATGTTGTTCTGGTTACCGACTCTGAAACTGGCAGCCATCCAGGACGGTGAGCGTCACGCTGCTCTACCACATAGCCACTAAGTGTAGCTCCACCGTCCAGCTCAGGTGGCTCCCAGGAGATGGTTACATAATTTGAATCAATTTCATCAATTCGGATAGGTCCAACAGGTGGTCCAGGTTTGTCTATGAAAAATAAAATTAAAAGCCAAAAAATAATGTTGAGAAAAGAATCATATCGATGGGAGCAAAGTTCAGACAAATAAAGATCACGGATGATTACTTTCAGCAGTTCTTACCAAGGATTATAACTTTTATTGTATCAGTAACTGTTCCAGTTGTGTTCTTCAGTTCAAGTGTATACTCTCCAGTGTCATGAATGGTGGTCTCACGAACTGTCAGTTTAGCCATTTTGGCAGCAGTCTCCATTTTGATGCGTTCTGATTCTTTTAGTTTAGAACCAGCCAAGAACCAAGATGCAGCTGGAGGTGGCCGTCCTCCAATTGGAATAGCTAACTCGATGGGCTTGCCAGCAGGTACATGAATTGTCTTCTGAGGTATTCCGGCAAGGTCAATTGTCGGCAGAACTAAGAAAAGAAAGAAGTACATTGATTTTCTCAGAATATGTTTTATAAATATTCCATTCACTTGGTGTCAGTTTCACACTGTTATTTTTAGCAGTAGATACTTACCTTTTTGGTCCTGTACTGTTACTGCTGTGACAATCTCTCGTGCTTCTGAAACACCCTTCTGATTCTGTGCTCTGACCCTGAACAAGTACTGTTCGCCTTCATTGAGAGAGATAATCGTATGTTCATAGACAGTAGGCTTTACTGTCACTACCTTCAACCATCTTTCTGTTCCAGCTTTGCTGGCCTCAATAACATAGCCAGTCAATCTGCTGCCACCATCATGTGGTGGTTTCTCCCAAGCAAGAGTAACAGTTGATTTGGTGGTGTCGATCACTTCCAGTTTTTGTGGTGGCATAGGTACATCAGATACTAATACTGCGTCAGATGTTTCACAAGCTTCACCAATGCCATAAATATTTTCTGGCAGTACTCTGAAATAATACAAAGCTCCTTCCAGAAGTCCAGTAACTCTATAAAATGTCTTGCTGCATTTGGTAGTGACAGTCTTGTAAGCTCTCATGGAAGCTTCACGTTTCTCAATTATATAATTGCTGACAGGGGCTCCACCATCAATGGTTGGAATGTCCCAAGTAAGTGTTGCAGAATCTCTTGATACTTCCTTAATTCTCACTGCAGCTGGTGGACCGGGTGTATCTAAACCAAAAAGAAAATATTTTTTTTTCTTTGAGATCCCTTCCTCAGATTGAGTTCTGAATTAAAACAACAACAATAAATAATAACAATAACAGTAGGATTTCATTTATAAATGGGAATGTTTAGTCTGGAAAAGAGGAGGCTCACGGGAGACCTTATTGCTCTCTACCACTATGTGAAAGGAGGTAGATCATGGACTCTTGTTCCGGATAACAGCGGTAGAATAAGAGGCAGTGGCTTTAAGTTGAGCCGGGGAGGTTCAGGTTGGATATTAGAAAAATTTTCTTCTCAGAAGCAGCGGTAATGCATTGGAACAGGCTGCTCAGGGAGTGGTGGAATCACTGTCCCAGGAGATTCTCAAGAAAATAGTAGATGTGGCACTTAGGGACATGGGTTTAGAAGGCATGGTGGTGGGACTAGATGATTTCAGTGGTCTTTTCCCACCTTAATAATTCTACGACTGTAGCTCAGCTTTAGAACTTCATATTTTCCTCTATTTCTTTGACTTCTTCTCAAACAATTTCATGCTGTTTAAAACTACAAACTTCCTTTGGAAATGACTGAATTTCTTACTCCTCAGTAACATGCACCACAAGTAGTCTAATAACCATGTATAACTGTAGAAGTACTTACCATACACTTTCACAGAAATAGTTGCTGATTTTTTTCCTGATTGATTTTCAGCTTCAATTACATACTTTCCAGCATCGTACCGATTAACTTTATCCACAATAAGTAGAGTGTAGCTGTCTGTAGTATCAATAATACCTCGACTTACAAGGTCAATACCCTGCTTGCTCCATGTGATTACAGGAGCAGGTCTACCCGACACAGAGACCATCAGACGCAGGGAACCACCAGCTCTCACTGTTACTGTCTTCCTCAGGTCATCAGCAAGCTCAAGCTCAGGTTTTTCTGACAAAGAGTACAAGAAACATGAAATGAATTAATGTTTTAGTAGTTTTAAAAGAAAATAGAATTATTCTTTAAAATACACATTGAATTTTTCAAATTACCTATTCTTTCCACAGGTTCTATTTCTGCTGATGATTCACTAAATTCACTCATACCATTCACATTGGTAGCAGCAACTCTAAATTGGTATTTCTGGGTTGTTTTAAGACCAGTTACGGTGAACTCAGCATTCCTCAGAGTGGGAGTTGTATGTGGTCGGTACCACTGTTCAGTACCTTCTTCCTTCATCTCAAGAACGTAGCCTAAGATGTCAGCACCACCATCATATGTGGGCTTTGACCACGCTAAACTTATGCTGTGCATAGTAGTGTCCACAACTCTTGGAGCTGAAGGTGCTGCAGGAGTATCTTTGAAAAACAAGAAAATGTATTTCACGTTGGTTAAGGGAACATTTTACAGTTAAAAATAACTTATCAACAGTATAAACTGGGAAATGCATTTAAAATGAACTACAACTTCTTCTAAATTTTTTCAAATACTGTCTAGATCAGTGAGTTCCTATGTCTTTCTGAGTATCCTAGTTGAAGCATGAATTTGGTTTTATGCTCCATTATTATAAGTAAAAGTTAAAATATATTTTAAATGTGGCAACTTACATGATGGTTCCTTGCATAACATATATTGTGAAGCTTCGCTAGGCTCGCTGTTTCCAGCAGCATTCACTGCTGTGACACGGAACTGGTACTGACCACCTTCCATAAGACCAGTAACTTTCAGTCTGGTATCATAAATAGTGTAATCTCTGTTCACTCGTGTCCAGCGCAGACTTTTCCTTTCACGTTTGTCTACAAGATAATCCTTAATCTCACTGCCACCATCTGATTCTGGTTTTGTCCACTGAATGATGATGTGTTCCTTGCCAACACTCACTTCTTCAGGAGTACCAGGCTGTGTTGGGATAGCTGTTGGTTTTAAAAATGAAGGGAAAAAAATTGTTTTACAAATTCTTTACCTATGACAGACATTCCACACATACTGACACAGAATGGAAGGTAGTAACACTCACTGAAAGCATTCCTGGCAATGATAGGTTCTGTTTCAAGTGGAACACCTGGCCCATATTTGTTGACACCTCTGACACGGAAGATGTACTCGTTATTTTTAATAAGTTTTGTTACCACACATGATAATGTCTGGCATTCGGCCTCAACAATAACCCAGTGAAGTCTGCTGGTTTCGCGCCTTTCTACAATGTAGTGAGTGATTTGTGCACCTCCATCCTCCTCAGGAATATTCCACGCCAGGGTGCACTTCTCTTCAGTTATCCTGCTTACTGTGATTTTTCCTGCGCATGGACCTGGTGAATCTGAGTAGAGGTAGAAATAAGCATTATTATTAGCAACTAAGGAAAAATTCCTCACTCTTATTTTTACAGCAACACTTGTGTTTCTTGTTTAGTTTTTGGTTCTGTTGTTTGTTTTTTTTGTTTTGTTTTGCTTGGTTTTTGTTTTTTTTTTTTTGTTTTTTTGTTTTTTTGTTTTTTAATTTAATATACATTAAGCACAAATACTGATCACGGAAAACATACCAAGCACTTTGACAAGAACAGAAATTTGCTTTGTCCCACTGGCATTTTTCACTGTTAGAGTATATTTTCCACTATCACTTCTGTCACAGAACTTGATAATTGCAATGGCTCGTTTGCTGGTGTACTGCAGAGATATCTTTTCACATAGGTCCAATTCCTTATCTCCTTTGGACCAGAAGACTTTTGGTTCTGGTTTCCCACCAATGGCCGCATCAAGAACAAGATCAGATCCAGCCCTAATGGTTACAACTTCTCCCTGCAACCTGGCATCGAGTTCAGCCTTTGGTGGTGCTGTAAGAGGAAAAAAAATAAATAAATAAATTACAAATTAGAAGATGGCATTAAAAATGGAACACCATGTATTTAGTTGTTCCAAATGAATATTTCTTACAGTATTCATCTTTGCAAATGACAGCACCGGTTGATTCAGATCCTTTGCTAATCACACCAGCTGCATTCTTTGCTAGAACACGGAATTCATATGCTTCATCTTCACCAAGAGCTGTCACTGTAAAGAAGTTTTCTGAGACTATGGTATAATTGCATTTCAGCCAGCGTCCATCGCCAGATTCATTATACGGTTTCCGTTCAATGATGTATCCAATAACTTTACTTCCACCATCGTAAAGTGGTGGTGACCAGCTCAGGGACACTGTAGATCTGGTGACATCTGTTACTTCTGGCCTTCCCGGTGGATCTGGAGGAATAAAACAGAAAATGAGAAATGCCATTCTATTTTAACTTAATATACAAAACAACTATTGAAAATAATACTTACCAACTGGATTTTGAGCCACTACAGGTCTGGAAGCTTCACTAGCTTTGCTAACACCTGCAGCATTTAGGGCATAGGTTCTGAATTGATATTCTAGCCCTTCCACCAGCCCAGTGATTTTGAAGTTGCATTCACAGCATGGCACTTTATTTTCCTTCACCCAAAGGATGGTGTTGCGCTCTTTCTTTTCAACCCAGTATCCAATGACTTTGCTGCCACCATCATGATAGGGTTCCTCCCAACGAATTGCCATGGCATTTGCAGACACGGAATAGACTTCTGGCCTTGAAGGTGGGCTTGGTGGGACTAAACACAAATGGGAGGTTGGGAAAATATTAGTTATTAAAAATATAACAGCCAGAGGAGAACAACAACTTAAAAATAGAAGTAAAAATGCTTCACTTACCAAATGGATGTTCAGCAACTACAGTTTTTGATTCAAGGGGTTTGCTGACTCCAAATCTGTTTTCTGAGCTTACTCGAAAACTGTACTCCTGGTATTTTGTGAGACGGGTGACTTTGATCTGTGTACGTTTTACACTCGAATTTACCAGCTGCCATGCTGTTGTGCCAGATTCACGTTTCTCTACAATGTAGTTTGTAATATCACTGCCACCATCGTCTTCAGGTTCTTTCCAGGTCAACACACAGGATTCAGCAGAGACCGATGATATTTCAATTGGGCCAGTGACTGGACCTGGCCGTCCTATGACTACCACTGTGACAGTGAATGTTTTCACGCCAGCAGTGTTTTCAAGCGTGAGGTAGTATTTCCCAGAGTCGCCTCTCATACTGTCCTTTACAGTCAGTGTGGTTCTGTCTTTTGTTGTCTTGATGGTAACTCTCTCAGTTTCCTTCAGCCTCATCTCCTCAAGTTTCCATGTCACTTTTGGAGCTGGGCGGCCACTAATTGGTATATCAATAGTAAAAGTGCTTCCAGCCTTGCATGTTATGAGTTGTCTGCTTATTTCACTGAGATCTGCTGTTGGTTCAATCTGTGGCTCTTTAATAATAACAGAAGAGAAAGCTTCTCTTGGCTCACTGTAGCCAGCATCGTTCTTTGCCTTGACCCGGAACTCATATTCAGTGTTTTCCACAAGGCCTTCAACAGTGAAAGTAAGTTGCTTGGTTTGACCAGCCGGAATCCATTTGTCAGAGCCTTTCTGTTTCATTTCAAGAAGGTATCCAGTAACACGACTACCACCATCATGGTCAGGTTTAAGCCAAGCTAAAACTACAGAAGATTTGGTAGTATCAACAATATCTAATCTCTTAGGTGGTGCAGGTTCTTCAGTGGCTACAATTGGTTCCGTCAACTCACAAGGTTCACCTACGCCATATTCATTTTCTGCTGACACTCGGTAGTAATATGGAACACCTTCTGCCAGATCAGTGACCTTAAAGATTTGTCGAGTGCATTTTGAACTCACCACTTGCCAGCTACGACGGCTTGCTTCCCGTTTTTCCACAATGTAGTGATGAATACGTGAACCTCCATCCAGTACAGGAGCATCCCACATTAAAGTAATAGATCCTCGGGTCACATCCTTAAATGTAATAGGACCAGGTGGACCAGGAGTGTCCAACACCTTGACAGTAAATGTAATTGACTTACTTCCACTGTTGTTTTCCACAGTAAAGACATATTTGCCAGCATCGTTTCTATTGCATTCCTCCACAGTCAATGTGCTAAATGAGTCAGTGGTTTGAATGTCAGCACGCAAGCTCAGATTTGCATCTGCTTTGGACCACACAGCAGTAGGAACAGGTCTTCCAGAGAAGGCAATAAATAGGCGAATACTTGCACCTGCTCTCACAATGTGAGTCTGCTTGAAGTTTGCATCAATGTCAATTTCAGGTGCAGAAAGCCTGTCTACAGTTTGGACTGATGCAGGAACTTCACAGCTTTCTCCTTTGCCAGCACCATTGACCGCACTCACTCTGAATTTATAGTGTTCTCCTGCCTCCAGATCAACCACGGTATATTTAGTAGCAAGAACAGTCTCTGCATTGACTTTCTGCCATGTTTCTAGATCAGCTTTGCACATCTCAATAATGTATCCAATTATTTCCATACCACCATCAAAAACTGGTTTGGTCCACTCTAAGCTTACACTAGTCTTTGATGTATCCGTCACCTTTACGACATTAGGTGCACTAGGTGGGCTAACTGGTTCTCTGCATTTAATTAGCTTTGAAACATCACTTGGAGGTCCAACTCCTGCAGCATTTTCAGCCATGACATGGAATTCATATTCGTTGCCTTCAATAAGGCCAGTTACTCTGTATCTGTTCTCAGCAATGGGCCTCTTACTGATCACTTTAACCCAGCGCATGCTCTTCTTTTCTCTCCTTTCTAGAATATATTCATTTATCTCACTTCCACCATCTGACTTTGGTCTTGCCCATGTCAGAGTGATACTGTCTCCTGTTACGTTAGTGGGCTCTGGTGTTCCTGGGGCATCAGGAAGAGCTAAAAAAAAAAAAAAAAAAAAAAAAAAAAGGAAAAGAAAAACATAATTGGAAATAAAAGATTGTAACTCTACAGTTATTTCCACACAGAATGAGATGGAAACTTACTGTAAGGTATTTGTGCTACAACTGGATCAGACTCCAATGGTCTGCCAACTCCAAATTTGTTTACTGCAGAGACACGGAACTGGTACTCATTGCCTTTAATTAATTTAAGTGCAGTGTAGCTGCAAGCTTCACACTTGTCATCAACTAATGCCCATGCAATCCTGCTGGTTTCACGCTTTTCAATGATGTAGTGGGAAATAGAAGCACAACCATCATTAGCAGGAGGCTCCCACCATAATGTCACTTTTTCTCCAGTGATGTTTGTGAATCGTATTGGTCCACCAACTTTTCCTGGCGTGTCTGCAAAATAAAAAGTTTGGAATTATAATTTATTGGCATTTAGGTAAAATATTGGTATAAAAAATTGTACTAAAAGCATTTGGTGTGATACCTTGTATTCTGAAGGTAATATCTTCTCGTTTAGTGCCTGATGCATTTTTGGCTTCTACTGTGTACACTCCACGATGATCCCGGGTAGCATCTCTAATGAAGATTGTGCTATATCCAATACCTGTAGTTATTTCTATACTCATTGTTTTTTCAATCTCCTTGCCATCCTTAAACCATGTCACCTTAGGTACTGGACGTCCTTTAATTAAAGCTTTAAGTCTAATGCTCTCTCCAGCTTTAACAGTTAGGCCTTCAAAGTGCTCAGGGCCAAATTCAATTGTTGGAGCAACTGAAAAAGGAAAATATAGTCTTCTTAACTCAGTAATTATAAAACATTGTTATATACAGAATTACAAACTGTAAGCTTATTTTTCCTGTTAGCAACATTCTACAACAGGTGAAAAAGACTATTGTATATTGTTACTCTAATGTAGCAATGATTACACATGTCTGTCAGGTTTGGGTCCTCCATTTAGTTCCTCCTATGCTGGAGCATGATTCTGAGTTGAGTGGAAGGGCAGTCAAACATTTCTCCCCCCTGTGACCTCCCATCTTCCACAAGGTCTACTTGGCTCCAGTATCCAAACAATTATGTTAAGAAATCTTACCATTTTCATCTCTGGTCATGATATAGCCTGAAGACTGTGAAGGTGGGCTGATGGTACCAACAGCATTTCTTGCAAGCACTCTGAATTCATATCGATCACCTGGACTAAGTCCTGTAACTGTATATTGGCATTCACTGACATCAGTAAAGTTACACCTCAGCCACCGGTCTTCACTTCCTTGCCGCTTCTCAATACTGTAGGCCACAATCTTACTGCCTCCATCACGCAGTGGGGGGGTCCATTTAAGAGTGACTGTTTCTCTGGTGACATCAATGTAATCAGGAGTACCAGGTGGATCTGAAAGAGGGGAAAAACAATGAAGAATTATTTTTTATTACTGTTCACCATAATCTAGAACACTAGAATTTTTGGGGATGACTGGTCATTCACTCACCTACTGGAGAGACTGCCAAAGTAAACTTGCTTGGCTCGCTGGCTCGGCTTAGACCGGCAGTGTTTTCTGCATACACTTGGAACTGGTAATCCAGACCCTCAACTAGCCCAGTAATCCTGTATTCCCTGCTAGATATTAATGCAACATTAACCTTCTGCCACAAAATACTGTTTCTCTCCTTCTTTTCAACGTGGTAGCCAATGATTTCTGAACCGCCATCATAAGCAGGAGCATCCCACGCTATGGTCATTCCATCAGCAGTTACATTGTATACAACAGGCTTGCCTGGTGCACCTGGTGTTCTGAATTGATGCTTTGCCACAACATCTGCTGAGACAAGAGGTGGGCTTACTCCGTATCTGTTTTCTGCACGGACTCTAAACTGATATTCAGTGTCTTTAACGAGGTTTGGTACTTTGAAAGTTGTTCTAGCAGCACTTGAGCACACCAGCTTCCAGTTCATTTGAGAAGTTTCTCTTTTCTCAATACTGTAGCCAGTAATTTCACCTCCCCCATCATCTTCAGGAGCTTCCCATGACAAAACTACACTATCTGCTTTGACTTCATCTAGTCTTAAGGGTCCTTTTGGCTTAGATGGTGGACCAAGAGTGATGACAGTGATTGTAAATGTTTTTCTGGAGACAACATTATCAAGAATCAAAGTATATTTGCCACCATGCTCCTTTTTCACATTCTTGATACTTAAGCTTATCTTGTTTTCAGTTTTCTTGAAACGAAGATGTTCAGTTTCTTTAAGAGGGAGGTTGTCCTTCAGCCAGCTCATTGATGGCTTAGGTTTACCCTTATAGGGCAGTTCAATGTGAAGGTTATGCCCAATTCGCACAGTGATTTGACCTCCAGGAATGTCAGAAAGGTCAGCTTCTGGTGTTATTATATATTCTTTCACTGTAATGGGTCCAACAGTAACACCATCACTCATGCCTTTTTCATTTTTTGCAAAGACTCTGAATTCCATGACAGACAGCTCTTTAAGTCTTTCAACTTCATATTCACAGCTCTTGCTTGTGCCTGCGTATGTCCATTCCTTTTCTTCCTGCAATTTCTTTTCAATAATGTAGTCTGATATAATGCTACCACCATCATAGTCCGGTTTGCTCCAATGCAATTTAACAGAAGTTTTTGTAGAATCTTTCATGGCAAGGTCTTTTATAGGTCCTGGTACGTCTGCAGCTTTCACTGGTTCAGATGTCTCACAGGGCTCACCCAGTCCAATTTCATTTTCAGCAAGAACACGGAAGAAGAACGCAGTCTTTTCTGACAGGTTAGTTAGCTTAAAGGTAGTTTGAGAACACTTTGTTGTTACAGTTGACCAGGCCCTCTTTGTAGCATCTCTTTTTTCAACAACATAATTTGTTATTTCAGAACCACCATTAATGAGAGGTGGCTCCCATACCAGTGTAACTGTGCCACGAGAAACATGCTTAAGCTGCAGCTTCTGGCAGGCAGATGGTGTGTCAAGTACCTTCACATTCACAAATGATGATTTGGGTTCTCCAACTCCATTTTCAATTGTAAGAACATATTTTCCTGTGTCATCTCGGGTAACTTGAGGAATAGAAAGTAATGTTGATGATTCTGTATTCTGGATGATATATTTTTCATCAGTTCCGAGATTTTTGTCACCCTTTCTCCATGTGACAGTTGGAGGAGGTCTTCCTTTGAATGGAATCATTATTTCCACATCTTCACCTGCTTTAGCAATGATAGAGGTCCGGAGGGCAACATCCAGATCAATCTCTGGTGCCACTGTGGAAATAGATAAAAATGAATAATGCATATTTGGAAGGTAAAATAAAAAAAGGTCTAAAAAATAAAACCACAGAAAAGTTATGGAAAGGTACAGTACCGAGAATATCTTTAGCTTGAACAGGCTCTGTCATTTCAATAGGCTCTCCTTGTCCAGCACAATTTATAGCAGAGACGCGGAAATAATAATTAACGCTTGGCTGAAGGTGGGATACAACATATTCAGTTGTTCTCACTTCTCCCTTAGAGCTGACTATAGTCCATTCTTGTTCTTCACCTTCCCTTTTCTCAACCACATAGCTGGTAATCGGGCTTCCTCCATCATAAGTAGGTTTAATCCAGCCAAGGGTGACAGATGTCTTAGTTGTATCCACAACCTTCAATTTTGTTGGTGAGCCTGGCTTATCTGTAAGTGACAGTTTAAGAAAAGAAAGTCAGAAACCATACTACAAGTAATCATAAAAAGGAATAAAATATCCTGCAGTTACACTGCCGCAAGCCATCTTAATTGCTTGCTGCCTATTGATCTCTAACCAATTACACATATTGCACGTTGTTTCTTACCAACAGGATCTACAGCTTTGTAGAAGTCAGATGCTTCACAGAATGGACCTTGTCCAGCCGCATTGACAGCACAGACTCGGAAATGATATTCACTGTTTTCAGTCAGACCTGTTACTTTCTGTCTGGTGTCACGAATGGTTTCCTTAGTAACCTTGAACCAGCTAAGACTCTTCTTGTCACGCTTCTCAAGAAAATATCCTGATATTTCGCTACCTCCATCAACAGTGGGCCTACTCCAGACAACAGTCATAGAATTCTTGGTTATCATTGTGACTTCTGGTACACCAGGTGGTCCAGGTGCAACTAAATTAAAAAAATATACATATATGTCAGTAGGTGAACACTATGTGCAAATAAATACCAGACAGGATGATTCAGTTCTATTACTGATGTTATATGGTTCTTACCAAATGAGTTTTTGGCTATAACTGGTTCAGACTCCAAGGAATCACCAACTCCAAACTTGTTCACACCACGGACACGGAACACATATTCATTTCCTTTGACAACTTTTGTTGTAGTTATAATACACCCCTCCTCTTTCTCAGAAACTAAAGACCATACAACACGACTTGTCTCCCGCTTTTCAACAACATAGTGTGTTACAGGTGCACCACCATCATCTGCTGGAGGGTCCCACATTATTGTGATCTTTTCTGCAGTGACTGTCTTAAACTGTATTGGTCCAGCTGGGGGTCCAGGTTTGTCTGTATAAAATGCCAAAAACAAGGTGTTAAGAATTTTTTAGTAGATTATTGTTTAACAGTGTTACACAGTAATTTCTCAAGACATACCGAGTATCTGTAATCGCACATGGGCTGAGGCTGATCCCATGGCATTCTTCAGTTTTAGTTCATAGGTGCCACTGTTAAGTCGGGTTGCATCCTTGATGAGTATAGAAGCAAATTCTGTTGTGTTCTCGATAGACAGTAGTGAACTGCTTTGCAGCTCATTGCCATTTTTGAACCATTCAATTGTTGGTATAGGCTTTCCTGAAATGCCTAGTTTTAGCTTAATAGAAGTTCCTGCTTTGTATTTCACTACTTCTGTATATTCTGGTGGCACATCGATTTCAGGTGCACCTTAAGAAAAAATAAGAATAAAAAACAAAACAGTTAAGACTTGTCTTTAATAAAAGTAAAAATGAGCAATACTTTTTCTAAGCTAACAGTTACAAGCATTTTACAGATATTGATTGAAGCTAGCATGAGTAATTTAAATCAGAAAGCTGGAATGAGTTACAACACTACAAAAAAAAAAAAAAAAGAAAGAAAAAAAAAGAAAAAAAAAGGCAACTATGTGTTATAAATATCACTTTGGCCATGGGACATGGGCTTACTTCTGTTGTTGAAAGAATAAACATGCCACAACTCAAACAAACGCAGATACAGCCAAAGATGTTAATTACAATCATGCTCAAAAAGTTCGCCATCATTCAAGTTTATCAAGATAAGTTAGCTTTCTGTATTAAAAAGGCTATGGTTCTACAAAACAGCACTGACTTTAAGAAGCACATAAAACTGTTATATCATTGCAAAACACTTACCATATGTATCAACACAGGTAACAGGACCCACAACGTCTGATGGATTACTAATGGAACCAATAGCATTCTTGGCAAAGACTCGGAATTCATACTGGGAATTCTGTGTCAGACCAGATACTGTGAACTGAGTCTCAATAACATTGGTGAAACTAGCTTTTGACCATCTGCCATCTGGTAGATCACGTTTTTCTACAATGTATCCAGTGATCTTGCTACCACCATCAAATGCTGGCTTCTGCCATGACAAAGTAATAGCAGTCTTGGAAATATCTGAGACACGAACATTTCTTGGTGGTTCTGTGATAGAAAACATGAAAATATTGCAAATGAGTAACAATCTTTATAATAATACTAACAAATGTTTTGGGTATTAGCTTACTCCACAAGAAAGAATACCACAGGGGAAAAGGAAAAGCACTATTTCAGTGGTTGGGTTTCTTTATTTTCTACAGAATACATACCACAAGCATCAATTGCAAGGACTGGATCAGAAGGATGACTTGCTTTTCCAATGCCAGCTGCATTTTCAGCATAAACTCTAAATTCATAGATAAGGCCGGCACTGATGGTGGTGACTTTAAAATGAGTTGTGCGAATGAGGGTCTTGTTAGCCTTCTGCCATAATATACTATTCCTGTCCTTCATTTCCAAGTGGTATCCAATGACAGGGCTGCCACCATTAGTGACTGGTTCGTGCCATCCGACTGTAATACTCTCTCGGGTGACGCTAGTGACCCACGGTGTGGAAGGAGGACCAGGGGTAGCTGATGATATTAAAAGAAGCGATTGTTAACAAAATGAGCCTTTCAACATGTGAACATTAGAATTTTGATCTGCTGTGTGAGAAGAGCATTACTTACTGTAAGGAAGTTTGACAACTACACATTGTGAGTCAACGTGATCGCTGATGCCAAAGCGGTTCTCAGCTTTGATGCGGAATTGGTATTCTTCTCCTGTTGTGAGTTTCATGACTTTAATAACAGTTCTAGCAACGGTTGCAGAGACCTCAGACCAGGCAGCGGTACTTGTTTCTCTTTTCAGTACAATATAGTTGGTAACTTGACTTCCACCATCATAAGCTGGTGGCTGCCATCTGAGTGTTACACTCTCCTCAGTGATATCACTAAGGACAACAGGACCAATAGGAGGACCTGGTCTATCCAGCACAACAATATTAACAAATGACTTAGTGGTGCCACTCGAATTGGCAGCAGTAATATCATATCTGCCAGCATCAGCAGCCACACTTTCTTTAAGGTTAACAATGAAACTTTCTGCTGTCGTTTCTGTGTGAAATCTCAAGGTGGGTTTGATTGGTGCGCCATCTCTAGACAATGTCACCTTTGGCAATGGTTTTCCAGAAACTGGAATTTCAACTTTCAGGTTTGAACCTGCCCGAACATACACAGTGTTGTGAGGGAAGCCCTTCATGTCAATCTCAGGAGATTCTGAAAACAAAAACATTTTCAAATAATTAAAAAATGCTATCCATTCTAAAACATGAATTCAATTTAATGCATACTGACTTTCGTCTCATGACAGCCGGCTTACCTAATTGTTCTTTAACTGTAACAGGAAGAAGTAGTTCCTTAGGATCACTTAACCCTGCTTGGTTTTCTGCAGACACTCTGAAGAAATAGTCAACATTCTCCTTAAGACCATGGACAACATGATGAGTTGTCTTTACAACTGCACACTTAACCCATTTCTGCTGTCCTTTCTCAAGAGCCTCAATGAGGTAGCTCACAATTCTGCTTCCACCATCATGTTCTGGTTTTAGCCATGATAGAGAAACACTGTCCTTTGTGACGTTTGTCACTCCAAGTTTTTCTGGTGGGCTGGGTTTTTCTGAGAAAAAAAGTTCAACAGGTTAAGCAACAAGAAATTATTCCTTTTTATGTTAGCGATTACACTGGATTGAGGGTTGTTGTTGTTTTTTTTTTTGTTGTTGTTGTTGTTTGTTTTTTTTGTTTTTTTTTTTTTTGTAATGAATTTGTACGTTAGAACATTTTAAGTAAAATGCAAACAAAATTTAAAATTTATGCTGTTGTTCAGCATCTTCTTTTGTAAAATCACAAACATATCTACCACATATTTAATTTTCTTATTATGAACAGATTAAATATCTTGTATATTATTTTGAAATAAACATTTCAGAACATGCATAGTTATGTGTTACAGAATTGGTTTTTTTTTTAGTGAAACATACCTGTTATTTTAGTTCCCTCCTTGGTCTCAGAAGGCACTCCAACACCATACTCATTCTCTCCAGAAACTCTGAAGTAGTAAATGGCACCTTCTTGTAAACCAGTTACTTTATATGACAGGCGATGACAATTATTCGTCACAGTGACCCATGCTTTCTTGCTAGCTTCTCGTTTTTCAATGACATAGTTCTTCACAGGTGCCCCACCATCGTTATCAGGAACATCCCAAGATAACACAGCAGATTCTTTAGTTACATCTTTTGTTGTTACATGAGATGGCGGGCCAGGAGTGTCAAGAACTTTGACAACTAAAGTCAAGGTAACAGTGTTCAGGACGTTCTGTAACGTTAACGTGTATTTTCCAGAATCATTTCTTGTTGCCTTTTCAATAGTAAGAGATGTGCGATTATCTGAAACATCAATGCTTGCTCGTGTACGGAGATCAGTATCTGGTTTGTTCCATGTTACATTTGGGACTGGTTTGCCTCTGAAAGGAACTGTCATTGTGAATGATTCACCAGCCTTTACAGTTAGTGTCTTTCGCATTTCACTGTCAATATCGAAAGCAGGTTCTTCCTCTCTTTCTTTTGCCAAGTGAGGTTCTGAGCTGTCACTTGGTTCACTGACACCCATTTTGTTGATGGATTTCACTCTGAAGACATATTCAGAGCCGGACACTAACCCACTTATGGTGTACTCTGTACCTCTTAAGTTCTGAATAGCAGTTGTCCAGTCAGTTTCATCAGTTTTCTTGTATTCAACTGTGTATGCAGTTACTGGAGCACCTCCATCAAACAGTGGCTTTGTCCACCCTATTGTGATATTTGACCTTGTGGAATCCATAATCTTTGGTTTAGATGGGGGAGATGGCAAGAAGATTGGATCTTCTGCCCGAATTAATGGTGTGCTTTGGCTTGGAAGGCTGAGACCAGCAGCATTTTCTGCATAAACTCGGAATTCATATTCACATCCTTCACGGAGACCAGATGATTTCACTCTTAAATCATATACCGGCTTTTTGTTTACACGTATCCATCTTAGGCTAGTTTTCTCACGTCTTTCAATTACGTAGCCAGAGATCTCATTGCCTCCATCAGACTCAGGTCTTGCCCAGCACAAAGTTATTGAATCTTTGCTTACACTGGTGATCTCCAAAGAAGTAGGTGGACTTGGAACCGTAAATGGGTCTAAGGCTTTGACAGCAACACTTTCTAGAGGCTCACCAACACCATATTTGTTAACTCCCATCACTCTAAAAATATACTCATTACCCTTCAGCAGTTTTGTCACTTTACAGGATGTTGTCTTAAGCTCTCCTTCACAAATTGTCCATGCAATTCTGCTGGTCTCACGTTTTTCTACAACATAATAATCAATATCTGCACCTCCATTCTCTTGAGGAGGTCCCCATGATAAATGACACTTTTCAGCGGTAAGGCCAGTTATTTCTAGTGGGCCTGCTGGTGGGCCAGGTCTGTCAAGTACTTTGCAATTAATTGCCAAAGATTTTGTTCCTGCAACATTTTGTAATGTTAGTACATACTGTCCTGAATCACCTCGGATGCAGTCCTTAACTGTTATTGCAGTAGCGTAGTCTGTTGAGGCTATTTCAACTCTAGCTTTTCCCTCAAGTTCTTTGCCATCTTTTGTCCATGAAATTACTGGTATTGGCCGCCCTGCAATATCAGCATTGACTTTAAACACTTCTCCAGCTTTCACAACTACAACATCTCTGAATTTGACATCCATCATAATTCTTGGAGCTTCTACATCATCTTTTACAGTCACAGGTCCGGTTGATTCAGATGGCTGACTGAAGAGTCCAGCAGCATTCTTTGCAATCACACGGAATTCGTAACGCTGGTCTTCTGTAAGTCCACCTACATCAAAGTATGTTTCTTGCACATTTGTGAAATTACACTTTAACCAGCGACCATCTGGCATCTCTCTGCGCTCAATAATATATCCTGTTACTTTAGCTCCACCATCATATTCTGGTTTAGTCCATTTCAGTGAGACACATGTTCTTGTAATATTAGTAACTTCTGGTTGACCAGGAGGATCACACGGATCTCTTGCAGCAACTGGTTCACATGATTTACTGCATTTGCCTATGCCTGCAATGTTTTCGGCATACACACGATATTCATACATCAGACCTTCATCAAGACCTGTAACTTTCATCTGTGTATCAGTTATAAGACTTTTGTTGACTTTTGCCCAAAGAATGCTGCTTCTTTCTTTACGTTCCAAGTGATATCCTAGTACTCTGCTACCTCCATCGTTAACTGGTACCTGCCAAGTTACAATCATGAAAGCTTTAGTTGCATGTGCCACATGAGGAGTACCAGGAGGTCCTGGGGGCTTAAATGGATACTCTGCCACAACAGATGGAGAATTAACATGTGTGCTCTTCCCATAACGATTTTCTGCGCAAATACGGAACTGATATTCAGAACCGGTAGTAAGTCGTGATACTTTAATTGATGTTCTTGCAACTGCTGCAGATACTATGTCCCAGGTTGTTGTGGTAGTGTCTCGTTTCTCCACAATGTAATTGCTAATATGGCACCCACCATCATATTCTGGAGGTTTCCAAGACAAAGTTACACTATCAGCACTAACTTCATCAATATGAACATCAGTTGGTGGTCCTGGTCTGTCAAGAACAACTACAGTTAAAGAAGCAGTTGTTGATCCAGCAGAATTTGAAAGATGTAACTCATAATGTCCCAGATCTTCATGTGAAGCTTCCTTGATGGATAGTGAAGTTGAAGTCTTTGATGTCTGAACATTCACTCTGGTTGTCTCTTTTAAGGGATTCCCATCCTTCTTCCAGCAAATGGATGGAAGAGGTCGCCCTCTGAATGGCACATCAATCTTAAGATCTTCTCCAGCTTTCACAGTGAATGTGTTGAAAAGGAGCTCAGCAGATGGCTGGATTTCAATATCTTTTGCAATGACTGGGACACCAAGTTCTCTTGGATCACTTTTCCCTTTTTCATTAGTAGCAATCACTCTGAAACTGTATTCTTCTCCCATAGTTAATCCTGTTATTGTTGCTTCTAATGTTTTTACTTGGGTACATGCGCTCCATTTTACACTTCCTTTAGTTTGCATTTCTACTATATAACCAGTAATTTTACTGCCACCATCACTCTCTGGCTTTTCCCATTTAATTGAAGCAGAGTTGCGAGTTACATCAACAAGAATGACCTTTGCAGGTGGAGAAGGTGGTTCTGAAGCCTTAATTGGCTCAGGTGTTTCTGCTGGTAAGCCAGCCCCATATTCATTTACAGCTAGAACACGGAAATAATAACTAGATCCTTCTTGTAGCTGAGTAATTTTGAAGGAATTCTTAGTGCAGTTATTTGTAATTGTGGCATATGCTTTTCTTGTAGATTCTCGCTTTTCAACTACATAGTTGGTAATTTTAGCTCCACCATCAATAAGTGGTGGTTCCCACGCCAATGTTACAAAATCTTTTTTCACTTCTCTGACTGTCAGGTTCACTGGTGCACTAGGTGTATCAAGCACTCTGACATTAACAAAAGCTGTTTTTTTGCCACTGTTGTTCTCTAAAGTTAGATTGTATCTGCCACTATCAAATCGATTCACATTGTCAATTACCAACATTGTGTAGGAACTAGTGACTTCGATCTGAGCTCGATCACTAATTGTTCCTTCTGCTTTCTCCCATTTAACTTCAGGTTCTGGTCTTCCTTTGATAGTGACAAACAGACGTAAGGTACCACTGGCACGTACAATGACTACTTTTCTGAGATCTGCATCAAGTTCAATTTCAGGAGGTTCAGTCTTGTCCGCTGCTATAACTGTGCCAGGTATAGTAGCAGGTTCTCCTACTCCTTCTGAGTTGATGGCACAGATGCGGAAGTTGTACTCCTGGTTCTCTTTAAGTTTTGTTACAGTGAATTGTTTTGCTTGTAGCCCTGTTGGTGGGGTGCAAGTAGTCCATTCATCAGCAGCTGCTTCTTTTGCTTCTACTACATATCCCTTAACTGGAGCACCACCATCATAAATGGGCTTACCCCAGGCAAGAGAAACTGATGACCTGGAAGTATCTGTAACCTTTGGATTGCTTGGTGGACCTGGTGGATATAATACATCACAAGCACGATAGAAAATGGACGGCTCACTGGGTTCCCCTACACCTGCAGCATTTTCAGCAGAAACTCTAAATTCATAGAAATGCCCATCAGTAAGACCTGTTACTCGGAATCGCAAGTCTGTCAGCCGTTTCTTATTGCATTTGGTCCACCGGACACCATCTTTGTCTCGTTTTTCAAGTATGTATCCTTCAATTTCAGCTCCCCCATTGTCTTCTGGACGACTCCACGTTACAACCATTGAGTCTTTTGTGATTGCTGAAACTTCAGGTGTTGAAGGAGGACCGGGGGGTTTGTATGGATTACAAGCCACAACTGGCTCAGATTCCAAGGGTTCTCCTGTTCCGTATTTGTTCACTGCCATTACACGGAAAATGTACTCATTGCCAGCAAGGAGTCTAGTTACTTTGTGGCTAAGGGCCTGCACATCTGTAGCTACTTGTGTCCATGAAAGCCTGCTTGTCTCTCTCTTCTCAATGATATAATGTGAGATACTGGAACCACCATCATGTAAAGGCGGAGCCCATGCCAAGTAGCATTTTTCTGCTGTTACACCTGTAACCTTCAAAGGTCCTTCTGGAGGTCCTGGCCTATCTAGCACTTTTACAGTAATAGGTATAGATTTTGTGCCACCAACGTTTCTGAGGTTAAGAGTATAGTGACCTCCATCTACTCTTACACAGTCTTTGACTGTAAGAGTTGTTTTCTGAATAGTAGATTTAATTTCCATTCTTGCAGTTGTTTCTTCAAGGTCTTTACCATCTTTTGACCACGTAATGTCAGGAATAGGTTTGCCATGAATATCAGCCTCAAGAATAAAGGTTTCTCCAGCATGAACAACAATGACATCTCTGTATTTAGGATCCAGAGAAGCTCCCGGTGCTTCAATTTCATCTCTGGCTGTAATGGGCCCTGTACTTTCAGATGGTTCACTCAAGCAACCAGCTGCATTTCTTGCAATGACTCTGAATTCATATCGTTGGTCTTCGACAAGACCACTTACTGTAAACTCTGTTTCTAAAACATTTGTAAAGCTGGCTTTCATCCACCGACCGTCTGGTAGTTCTTTCTTTTCTACAATATATCCAGTTATTTTGCTTCCACCATCATATTCTGGTTTCTTCCACCTCAGTGTAATGTTATTTCTTGTAACAACAATTGCCTCTGGGCGGCCAGGTGGGTCACATGGATCTCGGGCAACATATAACTCTGATACTTTGCTGACTTTGCCAACGCCAACAATGTTTTCAGCAGAAACTCTGAACTCATATTCAAGACCTTCTTCAAGGCCATCTGTTTTATATGTGGTGTCTGCAATGAGTGACTTGTTCTGTTTTATCCAAAGAATGCTGTTCTTATCTTTACGTTCAAGATGGTAGCCAAGAACTTTGCTTCCTCCGTCATTAACTGGTTCATTCCATTGTACAATCATATGGTCCTTGGAAGCTGCTGTTACAAATGGGGTTCCAGGTGGCCCAGGCACCTTGTAGGGGTATTGCACAACAACTGGCTTAGAGTCCAAAGGAGAGCTCTTTCCATATCTATTTTCAGCAGAAATCCTGAACTGGTATTCAGAACCTGTCTTAAGCTTTGTTGCTTTGATAGTTGTTCTTGCAACAGTTGCTGACACAATATTCCATGTGGTAGTGCTGGTGTCACGCTTTTCTACTATATAGTTGCTTATCTGACAGCCACCAGTATAATCAGGTGGATCCCATGATAAAACAACAAAGTCTGCACTAACTTCATCAAAGCGCACAGGTCCTCGTGGTGGGCCAGGTTTTTCCAGTACAATTATACTCAATTGCTCACTTGCTGTGCCTGCTGTGTTTGATGCCGTTACTGTATATTTACCGAAGTCCTCTTTGTTGCTTTCTTTAATATGTAGAATAGTTGACGTTGATGTATTCTCAATATTTAATCTGGTTGTTTGTTTCAGTGGCTGTTCATCTTTTGTCCAAGTAATAGTAGGTTTTGGTCTACCTATAAATGGTACTTCTACTTTCAAATCTTCTCCAGCCTGTACACTGTATGTATTAAACATCAACTTAAAACTTGGCTCAATTGTCAAGTCTTTAGCTATCACAGGAACTCCAAGTGCTCTGGGATCACTTTTGCCTTTTTCATTGTAGGCAATCACATGGAATTGATATTCTTGGCCTGGACTCAGACCAGAAACAACTGCACTGCATGTTTTGGACTCACTAACAACACTCCATTTTTCTGTTCCTTTAGGCAGCATTTCAACAATGTATCCCAAAATTCTGCTACCTCCATCATGTTCTGGTTTTTCCCATGTAAGTGATGCACTTCTCTGAGTAACGTCAGTGAGTGTTACTTTCCCAGGAGGCAGAGGTGGCTCAGAGGCTTTCACAGCATCTGCTGTTTCAGCTGGAACACCAATTCCAAATTCATTCTCAGCCATGACTCTGAAGTAATAGATTGCTCCTTCTGTAAGATTTTCAACTTTAAAGCTTGTCTTGCCACACTTTGCGCTTACATTTGCAAATGCCTTCCTGGTTGACTCACGTTTGTCTATTACGTAGTTCTTTACCTTTGCACCACCATCAGTAATTGGAGGTTCCCAAGATAGTACAGCAGAATCCTTCTTTATATCCTTTACTATTAAGTTTTGTGGTGGTCCTGGCGTATCTAAGACTTTTACTATAACAAAAGCAGATTTAGAACCACTGCTGTTCTCCAACTTAAGAATATACTTTCCAGCATCATTTCTGTCACAGTTGTCAATTGAGAGTTGTGTGTAGTTTACGCCTTTATCAATTTGAACTTTTTCTGTGAATTCACCTTCTTCTCGAGACCATGTGATGTCAGGTACTGGTCGTCCCCTGAATGGTATGTGGATCCTAGCAGAGCCACCAGCTCTAACCACTATCCCTTTCCTTAGCTCTGAATCAATATCAAGTTCTGGAGCTTCAAGTTTGTCTTCTGGTTTAATAGTACCAGGAACTGATGCAGCCTCTCCTACACCAACCTTGTTGAGAGCACAAACTCGTAGTTTATATTCCTGATGTTCAGTAAGCTTTTTGATTTCAAATCGAGTGGCACGTATACCTGTCTGTGGAGTAACAAGTGACCATTCATCTTCATCTGCTTTGCAGATTTCTACAAGATATCCCTGGATTTCACAGCCACCATCATAAATAGGTTTACTCCAGCCAAGTGTAACTGAACTTTTAGTGGTATCCACAACATGGGCATTTGTAGGCGGGCCAGGCTTGAACATGGGGTCACAGGCTTTAAAGTAAGGGGAAACTTGGCTTGGCTCACCCAATCCAGCAGCATTTTCAGCAGAAACTCTGAATTCATACTCATGATCCTCTGTTAATCCTGTAACTCTTAGTCGCAGATCTGTAATTCGTCGTTTATTGCATTTTATCCATCTGATACCTGCTCGATCTCTCTTTTCTACAATATACCCTATGATTTCACTACCACCATCACTATCTGGTCGGCTCCAGCAGACAGTCATAGAATCCTTTGTGATGTTGGTGATTTCCAAGGCCTTTGGTGGACTAGGAACCACAAATGGATTTTTCATCATTACAGGCACAGATTCCAGTGGTTCACCAACTCCGTATTTGTTAACTGCCATAATACGGAAAATATATTCATTTCCTTCCAAAAGTTTTGTTACTTTCAGCATTGTAGGTAGAACCTCTGAAGCAACAACAGTCCATGCTAGGCGACTAGTTTCTCTCTTCTCTACAATATAATGAGAAATATCACTGCCACCATCATGAAGAGGAGGAGACCATGCCAATGAACATTTTTCAGCTGTAACTCCGGTTACTTGGACAGGGCCCACAGGAGGGCCTGGTCTATCCAGGACTTTTACGTTTACTGGTACTGTCTTTGTTCCGGCAACATTAGAGGCTTCTAAAATAAACTGCCCACCATCAATTCTAATAGCATCTTTTACAATTATTAATGCACTGAAATCTGTGTTCTTTATCTCATATCTAGCAGTTTCCTCAAGCTCTTTATCTCCTTTGTACCACTTAATGGTTGGTAGTGGCTTTCCATGAACATCAGCCTCAAGTCTGAATGTATCACCAGCATTTACAACAATTGTCTCTTTGTACTTTGGATCCATTGAAATTCGTGGAAGTTCAACTTCATCCCTTGCTGTTATTGGTCCTGTACTGTCAGAAGGTTTACTTATTGCACCTGCAGCATTCTTTGCAATGACTCTAAATTCGTATCTTTGGTCTTCGGTAAGCCCTGTTACAGTGAACTGAGTTTCAATGATATTTGTGAAACTAGCTTTCATCCAGCGACCATCTGGTAAGTCACGTTTCTCTACAATATACCCAGTAATTTTACTTCCACCATCATATTCTGGTTTGGTCCACTGTAGAGTAATAGAGCTTCTTTTTATTATTATAGCTTCTGGGCGACCTGGAGGATCACATGGATCACGAGCTACGTAGCACTCAGAAACTTTACTTGTTTTACCTATACCAACAATATTTTCTGCAGAAACTCTAAATTCATATTCAATTCCTTCTTCGAGGTTAGTTGTCTTAAAACTTGTGTCCTGAATAATAGTCTTATTCACTTTAGTCCATAAGATGCTGTTCTTCTCCTTTCTCTCAAGATGGTAGCCCAGTACCTTACTGCCACCATCATTTATTGGTTCATGCCATTGTACGACCATGGAGTCTTTTGTAACTATTGTCACAAATGGTGTGCCAGGAGGTCCAGGTTCTTTGTATGGGTACTGTGCTACAACTGGTGCAGATTCCAATGCAAAGCTCTGCCCATACCTGTTCTCCGCAAATATTCTGAACTGATATTCTGAACCAGTTTTTAGTTTAGTCACCTTTAGTACAGTTCTTGCAACAGTAGCTGAAACTGTTTCCCATACAGTGGTTGTTGTATCTCTCTTGTGAACAACATAGTTGGTGATTTGACAGCCACCTGTGTAGGCTGGAGGATTCCATGACAAGGTAACACTTTCTGCACTTATTTCATCAAACTTCACAGGTCCAACTGGAGGGTCAGGTTTGTCTAGAGTTATAATTTCAATAGAGGCAGTCTTCTGCCCAACAACATTGGCCACTGTGATTTCGTAAGTACCAGTGTCCTCTTTGCTAGTTTCTTTAATATTCAGTACAGTGAGATCTGGCACATCACTGACATTGACTCTTGTTGTCTGCCTTAGTGTCTGGCCATCTTTTACCCAGGTAACAGTTGGTTTAGGTCGACCTGAAACTGGTACTTCTACTTTCAGATCTTGTCCCACTTGGATACTGTAACTGTGAAAAGCGGGCCTTACATCAGGTTCAATCACCAAGTCTTTGGCAACTACTGGAACCGCAAGTGCTCTAGGATCACTCTTACCCTTTTCATTTACAGCCATTACTCTAAAAAGATATTCTTCCCCTTGAGTTAAGTTAGTAATAACTGCTTCAAGTGTTTTCACACGAGCACACTCTGACCACTTCTCACTACCCTTTGCTTGCATTTCAACAATATATTGTATGATTTTGCTGCCACCATCATGTTCAGGTTTTGCCCAGCTTAGTGAAACACTGTTTCTTGTGACATCATCCACTGTTATTTTCCCAGGAGGCTGAGGAACTTCAGCAACTTTAATTGGGTCACTGGTTTCTGCAGGGAGGCCAATTCCATATTCATTCTCAGCAGAGATTCTAAAGAAATAATAGCAGCCCTCCTGAAGTTGATCTACTTTCCATGAAGTCTTGTGGCAGTTTGTTACAACAGCTGCATATGCCTTTCTTGTTGCTTCACGCTTTTCAATAATGTAATTCTTTATTTTTGCTCCACCATCCAAGAGAGGAGGCTCCCACGAAAGTGAAACAGAGTCTTTAGTGATCTCTCTGATTTTTAAATTAATAGGTGCACTTGGAGTATCCAGTACTCTTACACTGACAAAGGCAGACTTTGTTCCACTGCTGTTTTCTAAAGTCAGGGTATATTTTCCAGTATCAAATCTGTTGACATTGTCTAGAACAAGGGAAGTAAAGCTGCTAGTGGTGTCAATAATGGCTGCCTCTCTGATCTCACCATCCACTTTACCCCATTTTACTTCAGGTGTTGGACGACCTCTGATGGGAACAAACAGTCTCAAGGAACCTCCTGCCCGCACGTTTACAATCTTCCTTAATTCCATGTCAAGGTCAAGGTCTGGAGCCTCCATCTTTTCTTCCACAATAACAGAACCAGGAACATCTGCATGATCTCCAACTCCTGCTTTATTAACTGCACAAACACGGAATTTGTATTCATGTTTTTCCACTAGTTTTTCTACTTCCATATGGGTGTTCTTAATTCCAGTTGGAGGGGTACAAATTGCCCATTCACCATCACTTACATCACATTTTTCTACAATGTATCCCTGAATTTCAGAGCCACCATCATAGATAGGTTTACTCCATGAAAGGAAAACTGATGATCTTGTAACATCCACAACCTTAGGATTGTTGGGTGGTCCTGGCTTATAAATAGGATCGCATGCCTTATAGTAAGTAGAAGGTAGGCTTGGTTCACTGAGACCAGCAGCATTTTCAGCTGAAACTCTGTACTCATAATTATGACTTTCGATCAGCCCAGTCACTCTGTATCGCAGTTCACTTATCAGGCGTTTGTTACATCTTGTCCAGCGAATACCTTCCTTGTCCCGTTTTTCAAGGACATAGCCTAGGATTTCACTACCTCCATCCGAGGCTGGCCTTTCCCAAACAACTATCATAGAATCCTTGGTAATGGCTGTGACTTCTGGAGCCTTTGGTGGAAGTGGCACTACAAATGGGTTCTTTGCAAGTACTGGTTCAGATTCAAGAGGTTCACCAACGCCATATTTGTTTACTGCCATGATACGGAAAATGTATTCATTTCCTTCTAAAAGTTTAGTTACTTTGCAACTGAGCGTTTGCACATTTGAATCAACGACAGTCCAAACCAGGCGACTGGTTTCCCTTTTTTCCACAACATAATGTGAAATATCACTACCGCCATCTTGTAGTGGAGGTTTCCATGATAACATACATTTTTCAGCAGTGACACCTGTAATCTCAACAGGTCCTTCTGGTGGTCCAGGTCTATCAAGAACTTTGACATGAACAGGAACTTTCTTTTCGCCCGCAACATTTTTTGCAAATAGCACATACTGACCACTGTCAACTCTAATAGCTTCCTTCACACTGAGACTTGTTGCAAAATCCGTACTTTTAATTTCCATACGAGCAGTGTTTGTGAGCTCATGATCACCTTTTAGCCACTGAATGGAAGGTATTGGTTTGCCATGAACATCGGCTTCCAACTTGAATGATTCACCAGCATGTACTACAATTGTGTCTTTGTATTTTGGATCCATAGTTATATGAGGTGGTTCTACTTCATCTCTTGCTGTAATGGCACCCGAGCTCTCAGACGGCTCACTGAAAACACCTGCAGCATTTCGTGCTATAACACGGAACTCATATCTCTGGTTTTCAACCAGACCAGTTACTTCAAATTGGGTATCAATTACATTTGTAAAACTTGCTTTCATCCAGCGACCATCAGGTAGTTCTTTCTTTTCAACAACATAACCTGTAATCTTACTTCCACCATCATATATAGGTTTCTTCCACTGAAGTGTTACTGAACTTCTTGTGACAATTAAAGGTTCTGGACGTCCGGGAGGGTCACATGGGTCATGTGCAGTATAGCATTCAGATGCTCTACTTGCTTTTCCAATACCTACTATGTTTTCTGCATAAACTCTGAACTCATATTCAAGACCCTCCTCAAGGCCAGTTGTCTTAAATTTGGTATCTGGAATAGGTGTCCTATTCAGCTTAGCCCACAGGATGCTATTTCTCTCCTTGCGCTCCAAGTGATACCCAATGATCTTGCTACCACCATCATTGACTGGTTCATTCCATTGTACCACCATGCTGTCTTTTGATGTGCTCGTTACAAAAGGCGTTCCAGGTGGACCAGGAAGTTTAAATGGGTATTGGGCTACAACTGGCTCTGAAGTGAGATAGGTGCTCTTCCCATATCTGTTTTCAGCTGTGATTCTGAATTGATATTCACAGCCAGTCTTTAATCTACACGCTTTTATCGTTGTTCTTGCAACAGTAGCAGACACAATCTGCCAAATGGTGGTGGAAGTGTCTCTTTTTTCTACAATATAATTATTAATGGAGCTACCACCATCATATTTGGGTGGCTCCCAAGAAATGGTAATACTATCTGCTGTTACTTCATCTACTTTGACTGGTCCAGTTGGGGGTCCTGGTTTATCAAGGACAACAATATTTAAGGTCTCAGTTGCTTCACCTGCAGAATTCGTAAGTTTAACTAAATATGCTCCCACATCTTCTCTGCATGCTTCTTTTATCGTTAACACTGTGTTATTTTCTGAACTTTCTGCATTGACTCTGGTAGTTTGCTTCAATGCCACATTATCTTTATGCCAGAAGACTGCTGGTTTGGGTCGACCAACAAAAGGAACGTCAACCTTTAAGTCCTCTCCTGCTAGAACACTGAAAGTAGTGAACAGTAGTTTGAAAGCTGGTGGAATCACAAGGTCTTTTGCAACAACTGGTATACCCAGCTGGCGAGGATCACTGACACCTTTTTCATTCTGAGCTGAAACACGGAAAGTGTATTCTTCACCTTGGATCAATCCTGTGATAGTGGCTTCAGTAACTTTTACTGTAGCACAAGTTGACCACTTTTCACTGCCTTTGCTTTGCATTTCTACAATATAACCCAGAATTCTGCTACCACCATCATGCTCAGGTTTTTCCCAAGATAAGGATACGCTATTTCTTGTCACATCCAACAAAGTTATCTTTCCTGGTGGAAGTGGTCTTTCTGATACTTTCACAGATTCTGAAGTTTCAACTGGAAGGCCTATTCCATATTCATTTTCAGCTAGGACTCTGAAGTAGTAATTGCAGCCTTCTTGCAGTGAATCAACTTTCCAGCTGGTCTTGTGGCAATTGGCATTAACAGTTGAATAAGCTTTTCTTGTTGATTCACGCTTTTCAACAATGTAATTTTTTATTTTAGAGCCACCATCTATGAGAGGAGGCTCCCATGTGAGTGTAACTGATGACTTTGTAACTTCTTTTATTTTCAAATCTTGAGGTGCCCCTGGAGTATCAAGTACTCTGACATTCACAAATGCTGACTTACTACCTGAGCTGTTTTCAATTGTCAACATGTATTTGCCACTATCAAATCTGTTTACATTTTCAACAATAAGTAGAGTATAAGAGCTTGTTGATTCAATGGTTGCTCTATCCAGAGATTCCCCATGTTCTCTCGTCCATTTTACCTCAGGTGCTGGTCTTCCTTTAATTGGAACAAAGAGTCTTAGAGTACAGCAGGCTCTGATAGTTACAACTTTACGAAGTTCTGCATCAAGTTCAATCTCTGGGGGTAGCAGTCTTTCTTCAGCTTTAGGAGTCCCAGGAACAAGAGCAGGTTCCCCAAGACCTTCAGAATTCATAGCATATATCCGGATTTTATACTCTTGGTTTTCTTTTAGGTCAGTGATAGTAAAAGAAGTGGCCTTTAGTCCTACTGGAGGAGTTACAATCTTCCACTCATCTTCCTCAGGTAGCGCGATCTCAACCATATAACCTGTGATCTCTGAACCACCATCGTATATTGGTTTATTCCATGCTATTGTAATAGAGGACTTGCTGCTATCCAAAACACGAGGATTACCTGGGGGACCAGGCTTAAATACAGTATCACAAGCTTTATAGAATGGACTAGTTGGGCTTGGTTCACTAACTCCAGCAGCATTTTCAGCCATGACTCTGTATTCATATTCATGACCTTCTGTCAGTCCGGACACTTTGTAACGTAAGTCAGTAACAACTCGTTTGTTACATTTTACCCACCGAAGACCAGCTCTGTCACGACGTTCCACAATGTAGTTAGTTATTGGGCTCCCACCATCAGAATCAGGATGGCCCCAGCAGACAACCATAGAATCTTTTGTTATTGCTGTAACTTCAGGTGTTTTAGGTGGATCAGGTGGCACATATGGATTTACTGCAAGAACTGGCTCTGATTCAAGAGGCTCACCAACTCCGTATTTGTTAACAGCCATAACACGGAACACATACTCATTGCCCTTCAACAGCTTAGTAACCTTCAGTTTAGTCAGTGGAACTTCAGTGGCTACAGCTGTCCATGCCAATCTACTGGTTTCACGTTTTTCAACCACATAGTGGTCAATCTTTGCTCCTCCATCATCCAGAGGAGGTAACCATGACAGCACACATTTTTCTGCAGTGACTTCGGACACAGCCAATGGCCCTTCTGGAGGACCAGGTCTATCAAGAACCTTAACATTGAAGATATGCTTGGCAAAGCCACCAGGATTTGTTGCAGTAAGTGTATAGGCACCGCCGTCTCTTCTTGAAGAATCTTTATTGATAAGAACAGTAGAAAAGTCTGCTGTCTTTATTTCTAGTTTTGCTGTGTCTTGAAGTTCTTTTTCTCCTTTTGTCCATACCATAGATGGTGGAGGGCGACCTGATACATCAGCCTCAAGTCTGAAAACTTCACCCGCTTTCAGCACTAAGGTGTCTTTATATTTAGCATCCACGCTTATCCTTGGTGCTTCAATGTCATCTCTACAAGTTATTGCATCTGATGGCTCAGAGGGCTGACTCACAGCCCCACCAGCGTTTCTAGCAATCACACGGAATTCATAGGCAGCATCTTCTGTCAAACCACTGACAGTGAATTCAGTCTCTAATATGTTGCTGAAATTAGCCTTCAGCCAACGGCCATTAGGAAGATCTCTTTTTTCAACAGTGTAGCCAGTTATCTTAAAACCTCCATTATATTCCGGTTTAGTCCACTTCAGTGTCACTGCGTGTCTTGTAATGTTCAGAGGTACTGGCTTACCAGGGGGATCTATTGGGTCTAAAGCAAATACAGGCTCAGATGGCTTGCTTGGCCTACTCTTGCCAGCCAGATTTTCTGCTATAACACGGAATTCATATGCAATGCCATCACTAAGTCCAGTTGATTTAAAGATATTGCCTGATACCAGCATTTTACTTACAGTCTGCCAAAGAATGCTATTTCGTTCTTTCCTTTCAATGTGATAACCCAGAATTGGGCTTCCACCATCAGTAACTGGCTCATTCCAGCTAATGGTCATAGTTTCTTTGGTGACTGCAATCACCTGAGGAGTACCAGGTGGCCCAGGCACCTTAAATGGATAGTTGGCAACTACAGATTCTGAAGTAATGGCTGGACCAGTTCCATACCTGTTTTGAGCTTTGACTCGGAACTGATACTCAACTCCAGTATTAAGACGAGTGGCTTTAAAAGTAGTACGTATCACTGTGGTTGCCAGTTCAGTCCATGTGGTACTGTCAGTTTGACGCATCTCTACGACATAATTACTTATTGGTACACCTCCATCATTCAAAGGAGGCTGCCATGAAAACATTACGAAGTCAGAAGAAATTTCATCAAATTTGATTGGTCCTGTAGGAGGTCCAGGTATATCATGAACTTGAACTGTAATAACTTCACTAACTTCTCCCACAATATTTTTAGCTGACAGCGGATATCGACCACTATCACTTCGTGTACATTCATTGATGTTTAGTATGGTTGCCGTTGCAGTATTTTCATAATTTACCCTTTGTGTTTGCTTAAGTATCTGGTCTTCTTTCTTCCAAGTCACAGTTGGCCTTGGACGACCAAGCACAGGGATTTCAATCTTGATATTGTCACCAGCTTTGGCGATGACTGTTTTCTGGTAGATACTACGAAGGTCAAACTCTGGAAGCATTGTTTGTTCCTTGATAATAACTGGTCTGCTTTCTCTTGGGGCACTTCTCCCAGCACTGTTAACCGCCATAACCTGGAAAGTATACTCTTCATTTTCAGTTAGATTCTTCACTACACAATCCAATGTTTTTACAGTTGTAATGTGTGCCCATTGGTTTGTTCCTTTTCTCTGTGCTTCAATTACATATCCAGTGATCTTGCTGCCGCCATCATGTTCTGGTTTTGGCCAAGCCAGGCTAACTGAGTTTCGTGTTACATCCATAATATTAAGGCTGTCAGGTGGAGATGGTGCCTCAGAAGCCCTTACTGGTTCTGCAGTTTCAGCTGGTTCGCCAATACCAAACTCGTTTTCAGCCAACACTCTGAAATAGTATTCACATCCCTCAGACAAATTAGGAATCCTGAAAGAACACTTCTGGCACTTCGTTGTGACTGTTGAATATGCTTTACGAGTTGATTCACGTTTCTCAACAATATAGTTTGTTATGCGGGAACCACCATCTATCAGAGGCATATCCCATTGGAGGGTGATGCTGTCCTTGGTGATTTCTCTAGGTTTAAGGTTTATTGGTGGACCTGGTGTATCCAAGACTTTCACATTTACAAAACCAGTCTTCTTACCAGCAGCATTTTCAAGTGTCAATACGTATTTTCCTGCATCATATCTGGTGCACTCTGTGACAATCAAGAGTGTAAAAGAGTCTGTATTTTCAATACTAGCACGTCCTTTGAGTGAAACATCATCTTTTGTCCACGTAATTTCTGGAGTTGGACGTCCTTTAATAGGCACAAAAATCCGAATAGTTAACCCAGCTCTGACAACAAGTGTTCTTCTTAGCTCAGCGTCTAATTCAAAGTCAGGAATTTCTTCCCGCTCTTTGATTTCCACACTGGGAATTAGTGCTGGTTCACCAGTACCTACAGCATTCATGGCAGAGATTCTGAAATTGTATTTGGCTCCTGTCTGCAGATGAGCAACAACAAATTGAGTGATTCTTAAAGCAGTCCCTGTCGTGTCTTTTACCCATTCTTCTTCTCCTTCCTTTTGATGCTCCACTATGTAGCCAATGATGTCAAGACCACCATCATAGTGAGGCTTGCCCCAGGCTAAAGATGCACTTGTCTTTGTAGTATCAGTCACTCTTGGATTTGCAGGTGGACCAGGTGGGTCTGAAAAATGAGGAAAAGATAAAATACCACATTATGTTACATCATAAGAGTAAATAACTCTTATACTGTCTAAAATTATCCCCCAACCACCACTCAGAAATTAAAAAGCATGATACTAACATGCAACATCCTTGCACATGACTGAGTTTGAAGCATCACTTGGTGGTCCAACTCCCGCTCTGTTTTCTGCACTGACACGGAATTCGTATTCACTTCCTTCCAGGAGACCAGTTACTTTGCATCTAAGATCTGAAACTGGTTTCTTTGTTGCTCTGACCCATCTTAAACCTTTCTTTTCTCTCCGCTCCACATAGTAACCTGTGATTTCACTTCCGCCATCATCTACTGGCCTTTTCCAGGTAACTGTCACAGTATTTTTAGTCACATTTGTTACTTCTGGTTTTCCAGGAGGACCAGGGGGACCTGATAGAAAAGAAAAAAGTACAAAGTTCAGAAAAAAATCAAGTCCTCAGAGATTATTAAAAGTATACTTGAACTTCTTTGCTTGTTCAACTTACCAAATCTGTCCACCATTTTAACTGGTTCTGATTGTACTGGTTCACCCTTGCCATATTGATTTACTGCTGAGACACGGAAAACATACTCATTTCCTTGAATGAGTTTGCTAACAACATGCCTACAAGTCTCGATATTTTCAGCCACTAATGTCCAGAGCAATCGGCTAGTTTCTCTCTTTTCAAGAATATATGATTTGATCGGTGATCCACCATCTTCTGCAGGAGGTGACCATGTCAGAGTGGCTTTTTCTGCTGAAACATTGCTGATCTCAATAGGCCCTGGAGGTCCTGGAACATCTAAAACTTTCACATGTACACTCTCTTGTTTAGTGCCAAAAGGATTGGTTGCAGTGATTGTGTATTCTCCAGAATCCTTTCTGGCTGCATATTTGACGGTTAGGGTAGAAGAAGTGGGTGTAGTTTCAATGTGCACAAGCTCTGAAGGTCTAAAATCTTTTCCAGCTTTTGACCATGCTGAAGTTGGAGGTGGTTTACCACGGATACTAATAGCAGATACAGTAATTGTGTCTCCTGCTTTCACTGTTAAACCTTCCTTCAAAGTAGGTTCGATAACAATTGTTGGTGCCTCTGTAAAAACAAACAAACAAACAAACCACCGATTCACTTACAAAGAAGATAGTAAAATAACCAGCCAAACAAACAAATAAACAAACAAAAAAAGGATTTGGCATGATATTAATTATTCAAATAGAATTAATTTTGGTGCCATCTACATACCATACTCATCCTTGCATATTATGGTTCCTGTGGATTCAGATGGAGGACTGATAGCCCCAGCAGTGTTCTTAGCTCTAATTCTGAATTCGTATTTGGAACCTTCAGTAAGGTCAGTTACAGTGAATGCACAGTCTGGAACATTCACATGATTAGCTTTAGTCCAAGTCTTCGAAGGCAAATCACGCTTTTCAACAATATAGCCAGTTAACTTATGTCCACCATCATATTTTGGTTCTGTCCAAATAAGTGTTACTGAGTTCCTTGTTACATTGATAACTTCAGGTTTCCCAGGAGGATCTTAAAGAAAAAATGGTAAACCATGGTCAAAAAACAGTGATTTCAGCTTTTAGAATTTTCATTTTGTTCTCCTTATAAACTTACCAATGGGGTCAAGTGCCACAACAGGTTCAGATGGTGGACTTGGTTTACCTACTCCAGCTATATTGATTGCCATTACTCTGAACTCATACTCCAGTCCTTCAGTTAATCCTGTCACTCTGAAATCTTTCATTCTGATTGGAATTGTATTGGCTCTCTTCCACAAAAGACTATTTCTTTCTTTGAATTCGATATGATAACCTAGAAGATAAATGTGAGATGAAAATGAGAGGATTTCTAGAGATCTTCATTTACCACACATTTGCAAAATATCATACTGTTTGCATGGTATGTCATGTAGGAATTGCACAAGACAACACTGAAAACCAGATTAAGAAACAGATGTGGACATACATTACAGATGTATCTAAGAAAAACAGTGAGATGCTTGTAATGCAAATTGTACAGCCCCAAGTGATGTAACATGTAGCCATGATAGTTTTTTGGTGCTTTGGCTGTTTTGTCTCTCTGCATAAAAACTTTCTTGGTTAGACACTTCCTGACTTCCTTCTTTTGAAATTAAGCCTTTTAGAAGATTCATCATACAGAAAGAATAGAAAGTAAAACAGTGAAATCAACCAGTTATTCTCCCAAACTACTAAGAACCGGAATAGTAAGTAGGCTTTTGGGAATATACCTGTGATTGGTGAGCCTCCAGTTCTTCTGGGATCTGTCCAAGTTAAAGATACAGAATCATGTCGAACATCAACAATGTTGGGGGGTGGAGGAGCATCGGGCACATCTAAACAATATTAAAAAATGCAGCATCATTAACAATGAATATCACCTCTAAAACCTTTTTATAACAATTTGAATATTATAATGATGACTTACCAAATGGATGTTTTGCAACAACAGGGTCAGATTTAAGACCTTCACCTACTCCATATTTATTTTCAGCCCTGATCCTGAACGTATATTCATTTCCTTCATGAAGCCGTGTAACTCTAAATGTAGTTTTCTGGACTGCAGAGGCACAAGTCACCCACTTATTGCTTATATTATCTCTTTTCTCTATAACGTAGTTAGTGATTTCTGAACCACCATCATCTTTTGGAGGACCCCATTTTAAGGTCATGGCATCAGCTGTGACTTCATCAAATTTCACTGGACCTGTTGGTATGCCAGGTTTGCCAACAACTTTCACAGAAATGGTGCCTTCCTTGCTGCCAGCAACATTCTTCAGAGTGATTGTGTATTTTCCAGCATCAGCTTTCTGGCAGTCACGTACTAAAAGCGTTGTGTTTACTGCCGTAGATTCAAAAGCAACTCTTCCACTCTCGGTAAGTGCCTTGTCTTCATCTTTCTTCCAAGTTACAGTTGGGAAAGGCTTGCCTTTAATAGGGATTTTAAGACGGAAATTGCTACCCTCTTTAGCTACATAGCACAAATCAGGTAGATCTCTTAAATCAAGATCAGGTGCCACTGTAAAAAAAAAAAAAAAAAGATCAATTATTAAAGTAAGTGTAAATTCTGAGATAAAATTCAGATGCTCTTTTCAGAGAATCATAGAAAGGTCTGTGCTGGAAGGGACCTTAAAGACCATCTAATTCCAACCCCCATGTCAGTGACAGGGACATCTCCTACTAACTCAGGCTCCTCAAAGCCCTATCCAATCTGGCCTTAAACATCTCCAGGAATGGGGCATGCACAGCTTCCCTGGGCCAGAGTTTTCCATGCTGCAGAGCCTCACCACCCTCACAGAAAAATTTTCTTCCTTTTAGAAGCATCTGATATACATGTACATATAGCAACGATGCTAAGCATGAAATAAATGTGGTTTGGTGAGTGAATTAATTATCTTTTAAGTTGCTTCATACCAACATCATCTCTTGCCACAATTGTGAGCTCCCTTGGAGTTCCATATCCAGCATCATTTTGGGCTCTAACTCTGAACGTGTATTCTTGACCTTCCTTTAGGTCTCTCATCGAATAATGAAGGTTCTTTGACCGCATCACTTCTTGCCACTTATCTTCACCAATGAGAACCTCCACAACATAGGCAAAAATACGGCTTCCACCATCACTGATAGGCTTTTTCCATACTAAATTGCAAGATGATTTTGTTACAGCTGAAGCTTTTAGATCCACAACTGGCCCGGGTGTTTCTAGAAGAAGAAAAAAAGTATAGTTAGTGTCCTTTCAAGCTAAAAAAAAAAAAAAAAAAAAAAAAAAAAAAAAAAAAAA